GTAACTGTACATACGTCGATATACGTCTCGTGTCGAATTTGGTTTTTTCAACGATAGATGTTATTTGTGCTTCTAACTCCAAATAAACGGTGTTTTAATAGCTACGCCTGTGTAAAAATCATCATTATATATATACATATATATTTAACAAATAATATATTGATAAACATTATTTTAACGGTTCTGGTTCGAATAAAAATATCTAAATTAACTAAAAACAAGAAAAAACGTTAACTTCGGTTTTTCCTAACCTATAACACCCTTTACGAATATAAAGAATTTAATTTCGTGAATATACCTCGTCAAATGGAAAGTTTTCTATGCAAGCACTTGATTCCGATTGTTCATTTTGTATGGCAGCTATATGCTTTAGTTGTCCGGTTCCAACAAATGAGCAGATTCTTGACGAGAAAAGGACGTGTACAAAATTTTAGAACGAAATCTCAAAAACTGAGGGACTAGTTCGCAATATACAGACGAACAGACATGGCTAAATCGACTAAGCTCGTCACCCTGACTACGGCATATATACTTTACATGGCCCCCGACGTTCACTTCTAGATTTTGCAAACTACCTCGCAAACTTAATTTACCCCGTTCAGGGTTTCCAAAATATATTTAGTACCAGCCAACATATGTTATAATCCTTAAGATATATATCTTAAACCACGCGTGTAGCAATAGCTTCCAAATGACACTGTAGCACATATATATATTTATATTATTCTCACAGAGATCTAACCAATAAATTAAATTTTATATTAAAATTTTTTTATCAAAATCTGCAGTCATGTGCTGCCTAACTAAATCGTCATTAAACAGAGGCAGCACACTCCTTATTTATTAAATAAGACTTCTTATTATACAAGAACTGATTTGGAATTTTCTATTCCATTTTATCTCTTATTGAAATAGCAAGGTATTATTTCTCACATTGTGTAGCAAGCTGTTAAGCAAATATTTTTCCATTGCTAATAACATTTTTGATATTCAAGCGGCATATTATGCTTTCACAATAGTATGTTTGATTGTTTACTTTCATTTGCATTCAACTTTCTGAACAAAGATAGCAATTTTCCACAATATTGTAGCTTTTCATTACTATTTACCAAAGCGTTATGATATGCTTGCTTTTTTTCCAAATATCATGTATGAATATAAATTAACATCAATAACTTGTTTTACTAATAAGAAATTAATATAGTACACTTTTCTACCGAATAAATACATCAGACGGAAAAATATTGCAGTTGCAGAGTTACGCCTTACGCCATTTGTATATACATATTCTCTAAGGTTCACTTTCTTGGCATAAATAAAGTAAACACATGTATCAAATACTCACATTTTATAACAATTAAATAGTTGCACAGTCCTTTTAGTTTCACTAATTCTTATAAAATCTTCTATTTACCTAAAATTGTCTATCAAACTGTTTTGCTTTTTCGACACTGACTTTTCTCTCTTGAAACTTTCAACCCATATGGTTGCCAGACAGTTATTTATATAAAATCATAAATGGCCAGTGCCACTGTTAATGTGAAAAGTATACATTTTTACAATTTTCAGTAAGTATAATTCAAATTAGTTGGTAATTTTTGCAAACAACTTAATATTTTTGAATAATAAGTGTCATCAAGCAGATGTTTCTCTAAAAATATTTCATACTTTAGTCGCCATCTGGTAGCTTGAACAAGAGCACAGCTGTTCGCTGCAGTGTTGCATTTTGACGTTCTTGGAATTGTTATATTCGCCTTTTTGACTTTTTCAATTTTGATTTATTTAAGATATAGTGTGTTATGTATTATTTTTTTTATAATTAATAACTTAATTTTTGCTTAATAAAACAAAAAAGGGCTAAGTGCCGTTTCACATTGGGACGCAAAAGAGTCTCATACCAGTTTATTGTGGGTGAGGGGACGACGAGGAAAGACGAAGGGACCGTGCCACTCGTGTTCGGGTGGCACGCTTTGTGTTCTTGTTCGTAACAGCTCGCTGCTAACCTTTTCAGCATTCCTTTTCACTTTCAAATTCTTTGAATGGTTGCAAGAGCGCTCGGTTTCAAATGAATTCGATCGCAAATTTGAGTTCTGTTATCTATTTTTGTATGTAATATGCAAATACGTATGCATAGAATAATAGAAATATTATGACAAATTGTAAATAAGGAGAAAATTAAGATATAGATTATGGAGTAAAGAAATTATGAATTTTTAATACTTAAAGATTAGGAAATTCCTATTATAAATTTGGCCTTGAAAATATTAGTAGCGGATATTCAATACATTCTTGTGGATTAGGGAATTCCCGTCTTTAGTATTTTTTTGAAACTATTTAGCGGGTAGGTACTTGTATTATGCATATTGTTCTACCATATTCATGGTAATTCATTGCAAGCAAAATGTGTGACCATCATCTCAACATACAAATGAAATACGCAGCACGCAGTGTTGCGCTATCGAACCGCACAAATATTTACGAAAATTTTGTGAAAAGGAATGCAGAAAAACTAGACTCGAGTTGCTGGACTCTGGTGAAAGGGCACTAACTAACTAACCGCTTATACCAGAGAACTTTACGTTCTCTGCTAATACTAGCTGCTGGGTTCGTGTCGTTGCTAACAGCCAACAAATGGCTATTCACAATAGTGCACTTAAATAACATGAAATGTAAACAAACCAACTACAATTTTTATACCCTAAATAGAGTATACCATTAATATTAGGTTTGCCACGATGTTTGGAACACTCAGAAGGAAATGTCGGAAATCATATAAAAAATATATATAAATGATCAGCATGACGAGCTGAGTCGTTTAGCCTGTCTGTCTGTATATATGTGAACTAGTCCCTCAGTTTCAGATATCGACGCTCACGTCCTTTTATTCTCAAAAAGTTGTTCATATGTCAGAACACCGATATCGAACGCTTAAGCATATAGCTGCCCCTGAACAATCCAAATCAAGCTCTTGTATGGAAAACTGTATTATTTGACAAGATATCTTGACGAAATTTGACGTGGATTATTGCCCAAGACAACATTGCAATCTCCAAAAAAAAACTCAAAATAAAGTTCTTGTATGAAATATTTTGTATTTGTGAAGGGCATTATAGCTTCGGTGCATCCGAAGGAAACGTTTTTTCTCATTATTATACTGATAATATCAAACAAATGTAAACTAAATTAATTAATAGTTGTTTATTACTATTGTTAAAGTTTACTCCTTTTAATATATGTATTTATTATTTAATCACGGATTTTAGTGGCATTTGCTTTATAAATGATTTATCTACATATATATGTATTGTATTAAAAGCTTACAGCACCAAATTCGAGGTTCGGTGGCGTTATGCTCTTAACACAATTCCATTTTCGTACAACCTGACGTATGAGTAACATTTATGCTGCCACGAATCGTACAAAGTATGCGAAATACATTCAGATCACGACCAGTATCAGCTAGCATATATAGACATTAGCCTTGAGTAGGCGTTTCTGTGAATTAAGAGATTACTAAAACACTTAGTTTATGAGCAGTTGTGCGGAAAATAACGCTTTACGCTTAATATGCCCATTTTGAACTTGTTTACAAAATTCTTGGCACTTTGGAATTTACCGCTCCATTCGCAAATAACATGTCTGTTGGTACACGAACAAACACACATTCACACATTTTTTGAAATTTCTCAACAGCTTCTTATTTACTTGCGTTTTAATGCCGAAATTCAATTAAAGTAGTTGGTATGTTTGCATTTATATTGCTTTTAAACGAATTATTTGCTCTTTTGGCAAAGCTGATTAAGAATTCAATGCTATGAAAATGCGTTCAGGTATATGAGGGGAAGAAAAAAAGCAATTATGGTTAAAATGAATTTTGTAAATGGTTAAATAGTTATCTATAAAATCTTAAAATTTCCATTGATAATATTTAAGGAGTTTAGTCACTCAACTTAAGTGCAAATAAAAAAGTATTGTTGCTATGCATGTAAAGTACTTATTATATATCTTTTTTTGTATAAAATATTTGTGTTGATATTTGCCTTTTTATTGTGTGTAATTGAGAGACAACTTTTTGGAAAACGGTCTGAAATGAAAATAGAGAAAATGTTAACTTCGGCTGTACCAAAGCTATAATACACTCTTCACGTGTGCATTTCTCAAAACATAAAATAATTTTATCTTGATTTTGATATGTCAGTTTGTATGACAGCTATGTGATATAGTGTTCCAATCTGAACAAATTTTTTTGAAGATTGTAGCGTTGCGTCAGACAATAATCTATGCTAAATTTCGTACAGATATCTTGTCAAATAAAAAACTTTTCCATACAAGGACTTTATTGCGATCGACCAGTTTATATGATAGCTATATATACAATATATGCTATTGTAGTTCGATCTGAACAATTTTTTCGGAGATTGTAGTGTTCCTTGGAGAATAAGCCCTGTTGACTTAGGACAAGTACTTACTTTTGATCGATCAGTTTGTATGGCACCTATATCTTATATATATGGGCGATTCCGCCAAATGAGTAGCTTCTTGGGGAGAGAAAAACATGCACAAAATTTCAGCTCGATGGACGAACATGGACTAAATCGACTCAGCGCGTCATGTTGTTCATTTGTATATACACTTTTTAAGGTCTCCGACGTTTTCTTTTGGGTGTTAAAAAAATATTGTTGCAAACTTAATATACCTTGTATAAAATGTGTAAAAAATTTTCCGCCCGAAAATCAGATTTCAAACAGCTCTTTAATCCGAGTTCACATTCAGGGACACGCATTCTCGTTAACTTCTAAATTTTTACCTTTTTCATTCTAATCCTATCCGTGTGTTTATGAACCATGTTTCCGTGGAAATAACAAAAGTTCGGTAAAACAAACTCTTTATTACCAAAGGCATTCCTAGCCAGATTGCCATGGTTACGAGCGTTTGTTTTGGATAGCTTTTAAATATTGTGTTGTACGTGTAGTAAACTAAAACTACGAAACCCTACATAGTCTAAACAATTAGAGTGACGAATTGTACAAAACGAAATAGCAGTAACGAAAAATTGTGGCTTTTTCACATACACATGATCACGCAACAACTCAATTACGGAAATTATTTTTATAAAAAAAAAATACAAAATCAACAAGAAATCATAAAAAAGTGAACACAGCTCCTGAGTCATACATTTTATTGACTATATTGTAAACATCAATCGCATGGCCAGTGCGGACGAGATTGTATGTAATGGGCACGTAATAACGTTGCCCACGCTAGAGGTTGTCAAAGCTGGTATGTTTATTACTTGACTAATTATTGCCTTTTATAAATTTATTTTAAAATTTCGTTACCTTAAATTAGTTCCCATCATGGCGGCGGGCACAAACATCGATTGGTTGCTCCATCTCTACTACGCACGGCGTGATTTTATGCGTTGTCGCATAATAATCGAGCGTGAACTGCATAGGAGCCTCAATCCGGAATACATGTATTTCGTGAAGGTATGTACATATGTATGTTAAAAATAAAATATATATAGTGTGTACATATGATTGTGTAGGGTAGGGGTGAAAAAATATTTAAGACATATTCTATTATATTTATAAAGGAAAATTTTAATATTGCATAGTTTTAGATGACACAAATTTTTTATTTTTTTTTAATTTTTAGAGTTTTGACAATTTAACTTTTTTTTTGACAAATATGCTAATCAAAACTTAAAGTAATTAATTAAAATGAAAACAAAAACTTTTAGTATAGTTAGTTTTCAAAGTTCAAAACATTTCAAAAAGCTTTGTGAGATATAAAGAAATAATTTACCAAAAAACAAGAGACAACATTAACCTTGGCTGCACGAAAACTGTAATACCTTATATAGGTGCCTTTTCCATAGCATAAAAGAGTATAAAAAGATCTTTATCTTGATTTTTATCGATCAGTTTGTATGGCAGTTGCATGTTATATAGTGGTCAGATTTAAACAATTTGTTCGGAGATTGGAACGTTGTCGTGAACAATAATTTGTGCTAAATTTGGCAAGAATATCCTGTCAATTAAAAAACTTTTTGATACAAGGTTTTAAATTATAGTTATATGTTGTAACGGTTCGATCTGAACAATATATTTGAAGATTGTAGCATTGCTCTGGACATTAATGTATGCCAAATTTCGTGAAGAATTTTTAATTGACAAGATAATTAAAATTTTTTTCCATACAAAAACTTGATTTTAATCGGTCCGTTTGTATGGCAGCTATATGCTATAGTGATCCGATCTAAATAAATTCTTTGGAAATTGTAGAGTTTCTTTGGAGAATAATTCATACCAAATTTCGTAAAGATACCTTTCCATGCAAGCACTTTATTCCGTTCGTTTAGTTTGCATGGCAGCTACATAGTATAAGGTTGGCCGTTATTTCCCTTCCGCTTTTTTGCTCTTCATTCAATGCTTTATAAAAAGTGTTACAGTGATCGGATTTAGTTAAAATATGCATCGTTTTGTTCGTAAACTTGTTGCCAACGAGATGGCAACTTCATTATACCCCTCTCGTAGAAGGCTGCGTCCCTATTGGCAAAAAACTCGGAGAGCCAATTTTCACAGGCCTCTCTTGAGGTCAACTTCTCACCATTAAGCGCGGTCGCCATGGACAGGAAAAGATGGTAATCACTTGGTGCCAGGTCCGGGCTATATGGTGGATGCGATAAAACCTCCCATCCGAGCTCCCGTAGCTTCTGACGAGTCATGAACGAAGTGTGTGTCGATCGCCTGCTTCAAGCGGTCCAGTTGTTCGCAGTAGATGGTAGAATTAAGCGTCTGGCCATATGGGAGCAGCTCATAGTGAATGATTCCCTTCCAATCCCACCAAACACACAGCAAAACCTTCCTGGCCGTCAATCCCGGCTTGGCCACTGTTTGGGACGATTCACCGGCCTTCGACCACGACCGTTTTCGCTTGATATTGTAGTATGTGATCCATTTTTCGTCGCCAGTCACCATCCGCTTCAAGAATGGTTCGTTCCGTTTCAGCAGCATATCGCAGGCGTTGATTCGGTCCAGAAGGTTTTTTTGCGTCAAATTATGTGGCACCCAAACATCAAACTTTTTTTTGTATCCAGCCTTCTGCAGATGGTTCAAAATGGTTTGGTGACTAACTCCCATCTCCTGGGCGATGTCACGAGATGCCATATGCCGGTCTAACTCGATGTATTCCATGATTTGATCGGTATTTGTCGTCACAGGTCTTCCGCCGGCTGGCTTATCCATGGTGTCGTTTTCACCGGCTCTGAATCGTCGAAACCATTCCTTCGCGGTTCGAAGTGACAGAGTACCATCCCCCAAAACACCATTAATCTCACGGAACGTTTCTCTAGCGGATTTGCCTTTAACGAAGGAAAACTTTAAAATAGCGCGAATTTCGGCGTTAGTGAACTCCATGTTTACACGTCTATAACTGTTGAACGCAATATCCAAACTAATCATGCATAGCGTTGTTTTGTAGGTTATGTCAAGACCTTTCAAATTATGTATAGTGTTGCCAGATACGAGCTCTGTAGCGCTTTGTACATAGCCGCGAAATTCAAAAGACAAAAAAGCGGAAGGGAAATAACAGCCAACCTTATATATACTATAGTAGTCCGGTATCGACGGTTCCAACAAATGAGCAGTATCTTTGAGAGAGATGGACGTGTGCAAAATTTCAGATCGATATCTCAAAAACTGAGGGCCTAGTTCGCGTATATACAGACAGACAGACGGGCGTAGCTAAATCGACTTAGCTCGTCATATAATATTATATATGGTATATAGGTATAGTATTGTATTGTATATAATACCTTCTGAGTGTTCGTGGCAAACTAAATTCATCTTGTTCTGAGTAAACAAAAAATGTCGAAAATATTCAAGTAATTTAATAATTATTATTTTAAGCCTTTGTAAATAATATCTTTTATAAATATTAAACATTGGCAATCGAAAATTAAATATTTAAATTTCAGAAATCATTTGCGTATTCAATTCTTAAAGCAAACGTTGTATGCAAAGAGACAATAAAGTTTTGCCTTTTGCTATCCATGCATGCATATACCTATGTACATATATATTTATGTATCTATGACTAATAAACTCGTGCTTAACTCTGTCTGCATATTTCTTATCGCACCAATTTCCTGCTGACCGTCATTTGAATTGCAACATACTTAGGGCTTAATTGACCGTGAAGAGGGTAACAACATAGAAGCGTTGCGAAATTTACAAAAGGCACTCGACTTAAATTGCAAGAATATTGAAACCTACAAGGAGATTGGCAAAACACTGTGAGTATAAATGTATTTCCCTTTGGTATGCTTAAACATACATACATATGTGTGGATTTAAATATACAAGTATATATGTATGTATTTATGTTTGTGGTGTCTATTTATTTACAAATGTATACGTACAAATGTACGCAAATATGTGGCACTTGTGTTAATCGTATACATACATACATACAGATACTTGCGGTTTGTAGAAATCACAATTATTTACATAGATATTTTTTCTAAGGAAATGTCACATAAAAATGCTGAGAGCTATTTCAGTGGTTTACCTTCATTATGTCTTTGTATGTATACTTGTATAATATGTTAATGTCCTAAACAGTATATATATATGTATATATTAACATATGTATCCGTACTGACAGCTTAAAGTAGTAGTCTGGTAACTTGCATTTTTTTTAATACTTTTTTGGGTATTTTTTATTTAGAAAAAATAAATTTCAGTCTGTCTCATTTTGTAATATATTATTAATAATGTACAAAAAATAAAAATTTTTTTTTGTGAAATTGGTTGTTACGTAGCCCTGCAGTGAGCGTCTCAAAACAAAAAAAAAACAAGGAACTGGGTGGCTCCAATGATTTGCTCGAGGAAATCTGAATAGAAAATCAAAAAGATTATTGTTCTGTGAGCTTGTCACTCTGGTTGTATTTACAATTTCGTTGAAAAATAAAAAAATTGTTGACTTCGAAAACAACAGTAAAATATTTTAAGTAGAAATCGGGCTGTAAAATGGAAAGTTAGCGATCCTAAATCCTAGTTCTCCCGAGAGCTATTGATGAGTAAAATAACGTCTTCCAATTTCAGTCCAATCAGTTGGATAGTAAATTGTTTATCATTCAAGCCGACCGTAAGAACGTTGTTTCGAAAAAACGCGTTTAAAGTTTCAACAACAGATTAAATATATTACGAGACGCTCACGTATAGGTGCTATAACTTCGTCAATATTTCGAAATTCGTTCTAAAATTGTTACAGTGCGTTCTTAATACATAGTACTTTCGAAAAAAGGTCGATTTTTCCAAACCAAGTTACCAAACTACTACCTTAACTGTTTAAAATATAAGCGATACTTAAGAGGGTGCTGAGATTCCCACAACAGCCGGTTCTGCGGTACCGGAATTGACCCGGATTTTATCCGGCCAAGGGCTGTTATTTCGGCGATCTAACCCTAAAAAAAAAGGGTGCTGAGTCGAACAATTAACTGGCATAAACTAAATACATATACTGTAGTACTCATATACCATACATAGAATAGAAAGTAATTTTATGTCAGTTCACGCCTAGAAAACAATTTCCATTCGATTGTGTGTATGTGTATCCTTTCTTTTGAGGGGTTGGCCAGTCTGGAGCCTAAAAAAAATTTTTAACTTTGAGAATTCATTCTGCGAGTGAGAAAAAAAGAATCGAAATTATCTATTTCGAACTTTATTATACATATGTAAATGCATTTGAATGTGTAAAAAAATTGATGGGCTGATTTTCGGAATCATCTTTGTTTTTTTATAAATAAAAAGAATTTAGTTCACACAGGCAGTATATGTTTTATTACATAAAACTTTATTTTACATGTAAATTAAGTGGAGCAATAAAATAGTAGTGCATTTGAAAAGTAACCTTAAATGATCGTTGAAAGATATTTTTGAAGTTTTCTCTATACCTATACTTAGTACTTGGTAGTTTAACCTTTATTTTTAGTCACAACTATACAATGTCTCTACATATAGTCCTCAGTTGTTGCGCACCTATTCGTGAACATAGACGCCATGCACCCTAACTACGGACCATAGCTCGTTGTTGTTTTTGGGCTTATCCTTCCATATTCATTCCTTTAGATAAGTGTAAAGGTTTTCAATGGCATAAAGGTTAGAAGAATGAGTTGGCTAGTACATAACTTCAATTTCATTGTCCCGAAACCATTCCTGTGCCACTCTACTGGTGTGTTTTGGGTAATTGTCCTGACGGAAGACCCATTTTAGCGACATGTTATCTTCTGCAAATGTTAGTATAACATTTTGCAGTATATTGACATATGCGTGCTGATCCATAATGCCTTCAATTCGATCTATCGAACCAGCGCCTCTGTACGAAAACATCACCATACCATTGCACTCGAACCGCTATGTTTTAAAGCATTCGTGGTGTATCGTGGGCCATACCCTGTATTAGTTGGACGTCACACGTATTCTCGAAACCCTGTTTCGACATAAAGAATAATTTGCGACGGTTCAGTCCAAAGTATGTTCCTACATTTGTCTATTGGCCTGGTCAGATGTTCCTGTTCAAATTTAATAAGTCGTGTTTTTTTTTGAATAAAGAAGCCTTACTAGTGCTGCAAGCATACAAGTTATGATTTCGTAACCTTCTTCTCACAATATAAACATCGCACGCTAAATTTAATTCGTTCTGGATATGTTTAGCAGACATTATTGATCGAGTTTGGTATACCTGTAATATACAATAGGTATAACGAGTATTTTTTTAGACGTGTGTTTTTCAATGAGATAATACTTTTTTCAGAGTTGGTGTTTTTGTGGGGTTATGTTAACTCGTTTGTCTACGCAGATAAGCCCGACACGCTTGACGCTTTGGAAGAGAATATGTTATACGCCGCGTTATTGCTGACATACGATTGGAATTTATTCAAGCCAGCCGCTACGGTCACTTACGCGAAATCATTTTTAAAACATAATGGCAAACCCTTATCTTAATATTGAAGCTAAATTCTTGGCCATAACATTAAATTATATGCCTATTAGTTTTTCTTGAAAACCACATCTAAAAAAAAACACCATTTACTAGATAATATTACTATAAAGCTACAGTTAAAATTTCAAGTGGATACGTGTTAAAATTTCAAGTGGTTTCCCAGAACCATCGTTTGATTTGAAAAACGCAGTTTCGAGGAAAATGCGTTTAAAGTTGTACGTGCTGAAGTGGACTGACCGAAACATTTCGACACTGCAGCGGATTCACTATTATACTATTGAATAATGTTTACCGTATCCTAAAGCATACTTTAAGCCAAGTTGTGTTCTTTTTTTTTATTGAAAATGGGTTAATTGGAGCAGAACTGATTTTTTGTGAATTCACTGAAAACTTAAGTAACAGAGCTAGTACGTCTAACCACCTTTTAGTCGTTGGCGAATAGACCCTAAAATGCCCGTTCCACAACAGTCGGGTTTAAGTAGCCGAAACGGATTCGGATTTTTACTCGGTCAATGAGTGTCACATCGGCAGTACTTTCTGAAAATTTTTTGTCTGATGCCACAAAGTATAGAAAACCGTACAGAGCTTAATAAATGTATGGAAGAAACTGTTGGGCTGTCTACAAGTATATATGTATGCTATTTAAAGAAAAGGTGAAAAATGCATTGAACCGTAGACACGAGCTTTTTGTTGCGTTAACCAAGTCCAAGGAGCGTACTTGGACTGATTATACTATTTACATGTACAGCATCAACCCAAGAAGCTATGATACGTTTTTGAATCCCTCCAAAAAAAAATTTTAAGCTCTACAACCCGGCATTGACAGAGAATAAGCGAGACGATGCCTACTTAGTTCATCACGTTCGTAACGTCTGACTAAACCCTCGCCAATTTATTCCTGCAATTATTTAATTCTGTTGAGGTTCTAAGCAACTGAGGAAAATGGAATATCGTTTGGGTTCTTTACCCACTAACATTTTAACTATATTTGGTACTATTTCCAAATTTTAAAGCCGTGGTTCAGTTAATATTGCATATATAAACAACGCAAAATTTCGATACCCGCCTAAAGAATTCATCGATTTTTTCAGAAAAGTTAGTTTTAAATTTCTTAGAAATTAAATTTTATCCGTAGTCCTTAAATGCTTAAGAGGCACACCTACTATTTTTTGTTTTTGTAATTTAACACTAGGTGTGACCCTCAAACGCTATCATTTTGCTGTCTATAATGAATACAAAGAAAACTGAAACACTTTACTTGCAAGCAAATCTTAATGACATTTTGTTAATCTCCTCTGCTTTTATTCACACCGTCATTCATTACAGCTTCATTATGGGTCGTTTCAATCAGGCGTTGGATATTTTTCGCGAAGCCGAAGAGCTCTCCCCACGTCAGGACCATGAAATTTGTCATTTCATCGGTGAATTATTGCATCGTTCAGCGGCCGCTGCCAATCAATTAACAATTGCACGTCAGGAGGAAGCCGAGGCGAAATTGTACTTTGAAAAGGCCGTGCAGGCCGGCAAAAATTTGGAGAGTTTCCAACGGCTTGCAGAAATACTGCGCAAAGAAAAGAACTATACCAGGGCGATCGAGGTGCTCGAGAACTGTCTGCTGTAAGTGTATATTTTAAAAGCATACATGCTGTTGCGTACATGCGTATTAAAAATAACCTCCGAAAGCGAGTGGATTAAGTTCACAAGTTTCTCCTTGGAAAATCTAAATTTCCCACATTTCAGAATGCATTATTGAATTACTTGAACAAGTTTCGTAAAGAAACTGGATGTTAATAGTTTTGATATACTTTTTAAAGCGAGAAAACAATTTTATAACGGTATATTTACAGTTTATCACCCGAAAACATAGAAGTGCTCACCGAGATCGGTGTGCTTTATTTGAAAATCAATGATAGCCAAAAGGCTTTCGCGCGCCTCTCTGAAGTTATCGCCTTGGATAGGAAGTGTCCGAAAGGTTTATTGGCTTATGGTGCCATATTGCAGGTATTTGATGCATTTGTGTATATAAAATATATGTATTTCTTACGTAATAAAATAATTTTTTTCTAAAGCATGTCTGCTTTTGTTTTTAAATAAAATTAAATAAGAGTAGTATTAAATGCTTTTAATTTTGTTAGATTTTCTTTTCTAAGTTTATTTTTTTTTTATTTTTTTCAATGGTAATCTTTATATTATTTCAATTTTAAATTTATTTGTATACCCTGAACATGGTATGTTAAGTTTTCCTAAAAGTTTGCAACACTCAGAAAGAAATTGTCATGAGATATCGATCTGAAATTTTGCAAACTTCCTTTTTTCTTAAGAAGCTGCTGGTGTGTAGAAACCGTGGCTATCTATTAAGGACTGTTAAGGATATACATAGTTGCCATACAAACTTACCGATCAAAATCCACTCCTTGTATGGAAAACTTTTTTATTTGATGAAATATCTTCTCGAAATTCGACATGGATTGTTGTGAAAGGCAACGGTATAATTTTCGAAAAAATTGTTCAGATCGGACTACTATATCATATAGCTGTCATAAAAACTGACTCATCAAAATAAAGTTCTTGTATGGAAACGTTTTTTTATTTGACAGATACCTTCACAAAATTTGAGATAGAATATTGTCCAAGGCTACGCTGCAACCTCCAAAAAAAATTTTCAAATCGCTCCACTATAGCATATAGCTGCCATATAAACTGCAGTTCTTGTATGGAAACCTTTCTTATTTGACAATATATCTTCAAATTTGACATGAATTATTGTTAAAGTAACGTTACAATCTCCATACATTTTGTTCATATATTTTGTTTTCTTTTAATATTTTTTTCAGTCATTGAGTTCTGAAAGCTAGTGTTACTTTTGCATTACTTGTAACACAAAATTTACGTCGTTACTCGTATGCAAATACATATGTACATACATAATATTTGGCTTTAAGTACTTATTTTAGATATTATGGTTGCCAAATTCTGCAAATTGACTTCGATACTTTTCGCGGAATGCCTTACTTGTTGAAAACGAATTTCATTGTAAATTCGTTGTAAGCATTTTCCTCAGAATATGTTTTTTAACGATAATACGATTATCCAATAAGTAATCCAAAAGTACTTCAACTTATAAGTAATTTCGATATTATCATTAATACTCGAGATAAGTGTAAATTCTCAGATATATATTAACATAAAAGGCAGTTTGAAATTCATTGTAAATAAAAACTCTCACTCACTCGCATGTGGCCTGATAATTTGACAGAAGTTATATTTATTGCGAGCTCACAATTAAAAATTAAAAAAGGGAAGAAAAATATTTTTCTATTCAAAAATTATGTTTGACAAAGTTATCTTTATACTTAACTCTTTTTGGTTTCTGACAATCACACCCTTGCAGTAATTGAGCGATTTATAGTGTGTGATAAGGTTAAACAGGTTTAACGGTACTTAAATGATTGCTGAAAGTTATTACAACTTGTTAAATTCACTTTTGCTGGAAATTGGCTAGAAAACTATTTTACTTGTTGGCATTTGGCAACAATATTGCAAACTCGTTACAAATTTCCGCTATTTTTTGTTTATTATTGTAGTTTGCTTGCTTCAATTTTGCAATTTCGCAATTTGCGCTCTTTTTTATTTTTTTCCACAAGTTTTCTCTTAAATATCAGATAAATCCCCGTTTTTTTTTTGATTTTATGAATAAATTTGTCATATTTGTACATTTTTCTGCTTTCTCCTATTCCGCTGTCACATTGGCTTAATACCCACAGTCCCGCAACGATGTCGACGGCGCCTTGGAAAAATATCAAGAAATCGCTTTGACAGAACCGGACATACCAGAATTGTGGAATAACATTGGATTGTGCTTTTTCAAAAAGAAGCAACAAAAAGTGATTGCGGTATGTAAGAAAGAATAGAATGAAATGTAAAATATAAAAAAATAAGCTATTATTATTTAAATAAAACTAGTCACATGAATGAAAGTGAATCGTGTGATCACACAAAATAAACGTCTGCCAATTGAAACGTTGATATCCTGCAGAGTTGAATATGAAGGTACTGCTTTAACACAGAGAAGAAATTCATATTTTTATTTATTTGAATAAATGTCAAATAAAACTTTATTAACACCACTTCAGTCTAGAACTCTACGAGTATAAGTTATATACATATATAGGTATAATAATGTTGTAGATGGGCGTAATCGGACCACTGCCATGTCCTTAAAATGTCATTAAGTGAAAACCTATGAAGTGCTATAACTAAGCTCTAATTTAAGATAAAAAAAAAACTGCAATGAAGATATCGCGATAAAACGTTGCACAAATAGTGCTTTTCAGGTATGCCATCTCAATTCTAAAAATCGGACTTTTATTTTTCGAGCCCTCAGATACCAAATATGTGGATCAGTGTCAATGACTGACTTATTACTGCACATATTGGTATACGTGATATACGTGAGTTATCTAAATAAAATTCAGAGTACGTGTATTTCTAATTACTTTGTATTGTGTCTAAAATGGATAAAATCGGGTAAATACTTCCTCTAAACCTCATATTCTTAATAAAAAGATTCTCAAACCTCCGGTTGAGCTTATATATCTGTTAATACGTGAGTTGTTTGAAATGAAATTAAGAGAGCGTATCTCTCTAATAGCAGTGTGTCCTTGTGCCTCAAATAGCTAAAATCAAAAGAAGAATCCCTCTAGCTCTCATATACCAAATACAGGGATTTTTTAGACTTCCGGTTGATTTTATACCAGATAGATCGGTCAGCTTGTGATTTCCTAATGAAACTCATAGAGAAATTTTATTTGGTAATAATATTTCGTTATGCTAAAAATTGATAAAATCGGGACACCACTACCACTAGTCTTCATATACCTAATATAATAAAATAAAACTTTTAGTTGACTTTATATCATTTATATAAAGATATGTATATTCATACAAATGTAAGTGAACATATAATATTGTATATACTAAAGTTTAATGCCGAAAATGTGTCAAATGGGTCCACAAATTACCCCAGAACCTATAAACTATATATTTGCTTTTTATTATTTTAGCAGACTTTACACAAAATGTGTCGGTGAGTGCGTGAATTATCTTCACAAAATTTGGTGAATAGCTGTTCTTACTTAAATAATGCCAAACGTTAATGCAATCTGTCCAAGTTTTTTCCTGATCTCAACATACTCAATATAGCGATTTCTAGCCCTTGAGACTTTCTCTAACCATCTAACTTTAAAGCGTTTATATTGGCCAAATTGTGTGTGTGTTTTTTTAAATTAAATTCAGTGAATTTCTTAACCATAATGTGGTCTAGCGCTGAATATAAATACAATGGGTCTAAAATTCATATCCCTTATATAATAATTTTTTTTGGTTGGCTTTTTCCTCATATATCCAAAATATTAAATTTAGCCTCTTTATTTGAGTTTACATTACATATATATCATTTTAGTACATTATGTTATTTTTTTCATATTAGTGTAACACCTTAATACCTTTATGGTCAATATTTGAATTTTTTGTTTTTATTTCTGTGACTTTTTAACCTTTTTCCTCTATTCTTATTTACAGGCGATTTCTTCACTGCGCAAGTCCATCTGGCTTTCACCGCTTAATTATAATGCTCTCTATAATTTGAGTTTAGTTTACATAACTGGTGAGTGTGTTGTGAAATTTATTATTATATTAAAACATGTAAGGAAGGGCTAAGTTAAGATTTTTGTTAACATTTAGTCAAGTCAACAACCTTGGTTTACATTTGGGATCAATGACCCCTTTCTTCACAATCTTTGTTTACATTATGAGTTCATTGACCCTTTTGTTTTCCTTTTATCGCATATATCAAAATTGTCATGCCTATCGTTCAGTTTATATGGCAGCTATATGCTATAGCAGCCCGAAAGCGGCGCTTCTGACAACTGAGGAGTTTTTTGAGGAGAATGGACGTGTTAAAAATTTCAAAACGATATACACATCGATAGACGGATAGCCAGACATGGCTATAGACTCGACTCAGCTCATCATATACAATATATATTTTATAGGGCCTCCGACGTTTTCTTGTGGGTTTACAAACTTCGTGGCAAACTGTTCAGGGTATAAAAATGTTGCGAAAAAAGTAAACCGTTATTATTCGACAAAATCGTAGATCATAAATTCTTAGTTTAATTGCTAAATAAAATCATCTTCAACTAAGATATTGTGATATAAACTGAACCGAAGGAGCTAAATTTAATATACTGAGTTGATGTCAATCAGATGAACGGAATTCATTATTATTCGAGTCTAGGCCAACTCTATTCATATTCAGCGCTTAGCAAAAAATTTTGTAAGAAAACTTGTCCATTAAATTTCATGTATTAAGACTTGAGATGGAATGAAGGTGCTATTTGTGCCTAGTTTTATCCCGATGTATTCTTTGGTGGTTGATTTGTATACTGGAAAGTGAAAGAATCAGATGGAATTTAAAGTTGTGTTTTATGGGAAATAGGCATGGTTGTCATTCGATTTGCCCCATTTTCACATTGTCTAATAGGAATGTTTTACCCAAGTTATCTCTTTCACGGACAGACAGTGACTCGGAATTCAACTCGCCTCGTCATCCTGATCATTTATATATACATATGTATATAACCCTATATTTATCTCGATTGGTTTTAGGTGACACAAAGTACCGTTAGGTTAACAAAACTATTATGCTTTGTAGCAACATGTTGCAATAGTATAATAAAGTCATCATGCTATAATCAAACTTGGTATCAAAAATGGTCGAAATTGTTCAAAATTTACCCTGGTGTACTGAATGCAATGGTTTCTAGCAATATCTATAATTTGGTTAACATTATCCTATATATAATGTCAATTGTAATTAAATCCATTATTGTTGCATTAAATTGAAGGTTTTATTTAACATAGTTAGAATTATCCGATATAGGTGAAATATGTACGGTTTGCTTGGATAACGTGTACGCATTTTGAAGGTAATTTCATAATGCCACTCTCATAGAAACCCTCATCGCTATTGCCAAAAAACTGGGACAGTCGGTTTCCACAAGCATCTCTTGAGGCGAGTTTTTCAGAAGCAAAATCGTTCGCCCTAGACAGGAACTGATAGTAATCACTTGGTTCGAGGTCTAAACCAGAAGGTGGATGTTTAAAAACATACCAATCAAACTATGTATATGGCCTGGTGTTGTCCAGACGAAACACAATTCCTCTCCGATTTGCCAAAGTTGGTAGCTTCTGGGCGATTGCTTACTTCGGACGGTCCAGTTGCTGACAGAACAGACCTGAACAAGAGTTGGGAGCTCATAATTCCACCAAGCATACAGCATATCCTTCCTAGCAGACAATCCTGGTTTGATCACCGTATGCGCCGTCTCACCGCGACCACGACCGTTTTCGCTCGATGTTAGCGTAAGGGTCTCACTTTTCCGCAACAAAAAGTTTTTTGTGCAATGTTTAGGTGTGACCAATTGAAACTTAAATGACAGTCGGACTCGACGATTTTGCCAAGGCTACAATACCCGAATATATTGTACAGATCAGAAGACTATAGCATAAAGCTGCCATACAAACGGATCGATTAAATTCAAGATAAAAATCTTCGTAAAAAATCTTTTTTCCTTATTAAGTAAACTTAATTCTACTAGAAAAGAACTAGCGAAACGTTTTCCGTCGAATGTAAACCGTTGGCTAGGGATAGGAAAGTCGACTCTGACTTTGGTCAAGAATTGATCTTTAACTTAAAATAATCGACTTTTTAGAATCGAGTTTGAATGCTTCAAGTCGATTAAAATCGATTCTCACTCGATGAATTCGACTTTTCTGTCAACAGTTATAACATTCGATGGTAGTACAGTTGTATCGTTTTTATGTACCGACTCTTTTATATTTTTTTATACCTTATCGTTAAACTAACCTCTTTCTGATTGGTATCCTTGGTAACCGTTTTAAATAAGCATAGTATAACATAACTGACGGTAATATACAATAATTGTTTAATATATAAAAAATCGACTTGAGAGTCGACTTTTAGCAATGACTAATCGACTTTAAGAGTCATAAAATTCCAAGTCGACTCTAAAATCGAAAGTCGACTTTTCGCGCGCTGTTACCATCCCTACCGTTGGCCGCTTATACAGTTGCTAACTAAATACACCAGTGAAGGGCATTATAGCTTCGGTGCAGTCGAAAGTTTTTCTTGTTTTTAATAATTTTATTATATTTCTATTCATCAATATTTACAACTACCTAGGTACATATTTACATTGGTTTCCTTTATGTCTGTTGTTACTCAAATATTTTCCAAGGAATTAAGTTTCTCTTTATCAGTAGCATCTACATTGAAACAATTTCTTCATTGTCCAAAACAGAGGTTGTGAATGTCAATAGCACAATACATATATGTTATTCCGTTACCTAGGAGTTCTGCTGAGAATTTTCACATAGTACCGATTAAAATATTGAAGTATGTACATAAGAACATGCATTTTTACACCTACATACAAAGTTATGTATTTAATTTTTTGTGGAATTATGGTATTACATGTAGACTGGATATGCGTTCCTGCATAACCTTTGGAATATAATTCCTGTGAATTTGTTAAAGTGTAAGGCTAAATGCTCTTATATAAAGCAGTTATGTTTACAAAAAAATGTTATATCTGTCTATATCACGCTTTAATGCACCCCTGTCGACTACATTTCCCATTTTTTGCACATTAACTCAAAAAGGGATGTGCTCGATATGAATATACATATACATACATACATACACTATTATGGATTTGTTATCCAAACTTAACCTTTTGCAAGTTTTACACACCTTCTGTTCTGCCGAAATGCGTACAATTCTCCCCAAATCTACCCACTTTAGAGGTCATAGTAAAGTTTATGAAGTATTCCTCAAGACAATGCTAAGTATTAATGACATTTCTGTGCTTAGGTATCGTATTTTATTATGAATATGCTCTAGGTGTGAGAACGATTTAAAAGTGATGACTTTGGCTTGGAAGACGAAAACCGTCCTGTTCGGTCAAAAAAGTTTGAAGAAATTATGAGAAACTGAAAATATAACTCGATGAAGATTGTTGCCAACAACAAGAAGAGCACGCAGAGTCTTTGGGAGTCACTGATACAGCCATTTCAAAATGATTAAAATCTCCCGGACACATTCGAAAGCAAGGAAATTGGGCAATATATGAATTAAAGCCAAAAGACGTTGAAAAACAATTTTGCATGCTGCTTGAACGCTACAAAAACTAGTCGTTTTTGCATCGAAATGTGACTAGTGATGAGCAATGGATTCTTTGCTACAATCCTCAACGCAGATGGTTCACATCAGAACAGAATATCCACAAATTCCCAGAAAGGTGGGAAACGATTATAGCTTCAGAATAATACTATTGTATAAGTGTTCTGACAACTGGCATAAATCTCTTAGAATTTTGTCTCGCATTTTCTCCTCAGTTATCTTCATAAGATCTTTTATTTTAGAAAACATTATAATCGAGTTAACAAAAGCGAGTTGACTTTGAACATCTGTTCAAAAGCTTCTTCTTGTTGTTTTCTCTACTGAGCTAGACTGCTTACTACTTTTTAGATATTGGGATACTTTTTAGATATTGGGATAGTTTCTGGGTATTTCTTCAATTCAATCAATTATTGGAAATTTGATTTGTTGTTTGAAATAGAGTCGAATGAATTAAGTTATAAGTAGACACATTGCGCTACTAAGTGCGTTACAAATAAGCACCACTCAAGAATACAATTCCCAATCATTTTCACTCTGCCTAATGCCTATTTTCTTTTACATCGGTCTCAACCGAATAAAGGCTGGATATTCGCAGTGGTAATATAATACCCTTCTACTATACCTCGCTCAACTCAACATGGGTAAGTGCTCCCCACTCAATTTCTTCTTTGTTAAAAATAGAAGAAAAATAGTCTGTTTCACATGGTAATTAAATCTGTGCACTCAGGTTATTCTAACGAAAACCCTTCGTAATGAATGCGTTCTCCATCCACTTTCTTGTTAGCCCATCATTGTTACTTGATTACAATAAAGTTGAAATATTTTTCGAAAAATGTTAGGTTGCGTTGAAATTATGTTAATATCTTAATTAAATTGAATTCCATTGAAAAATGCTTTTTACATTCATAAATCACACAAAGTTACATGTTCCCATTAAAGTTTGAGTTTAAGACTCTCAAATAAAGTTGGTCCAAAACTAACAACTGTCATGGCCATTAAATTTGAGTTAAGAGGTCAAATGAATCTTATATGGTTGCAAAGCAGAGTCTAGAAGCAAATTCAGAAAAGGATTTAGGATTTTAGGATTTAGGAAATTGAAAAGAAACGAGATTATATTTTAAAGAAAATATTTAAGCAAACTCAGGAGCTAAGCCCAATTAATTATTCACAAATACAAAATATTCCTTACAAGAACTTGATTTTGCTCGGGCAGTTCCATGACAAATGTGGTATAGATATCTAGCACCTTCCGATCGTTCAGTTTGTATGGCAGCTATATGCTATAGTGGTGCGATATCGGCGGCTCCGACAAATGAGCAGCTTCATAGGGAGAAAAGGCCGTGTGAAAAATTTCTAATCGATATTTCTTAAACTGAGAGACTAGTCGCGTAAGTACAGACGGACATGGCTACATAGACTCAGTTCGCCATGCTGATCATTTAAGTATATATTTTATAGGGTCTCTGATGTTTCCTGCTGAGTGTAACAAATTTCTTGGCAAACTTAATATACCCTTTTCGTCGTATAAAAATCAATAATTTAAAACATCAAATGTTGGCAAGTCGCCTGGACATGTTAATCATTAGTTGAGTACGCTTGTCAATGAGATTAGCCATCACTAAGTTAATTGTAAACAAACGTTTAAGCAGACGCCAAAATCCACTAAACAACAACAGCAATAGCTTCATCCTTGCATATACTTATAGTTTTATTTTTATCATTGCAGCACAACAATACGCAAGTGCCTTTCACACACTCGCCGCGGCCATCAACTTGCGCAAGGATAGCGCTGAATGCTACATGCTGCTCGGAAGTAAGTTGCCACTATCCTCATACATTGTCAAATCCATGCACACACACAAACGCCTTCATTTGACTTTTAGAAAGTTCGCACCCACTTACGTTCGGTGGTTGGTAGTATACTCGCATATAATACTTGTCAGAAAATGATTTAAGTTCAGCGCTCATACCTCAACATCTGAGCGTGCGCTTCTATTGCAGGGGTTGTGGGGCATGACCTTTTGTCGTTGCCGTAATTATCAGTTCGGCCAACAGCAGCCACAACGGCTTAAGCGCATTTTCCATACACACATACACATCCACACATATACTTAACTTACAAGTACTTATTATGACCGGCATGCGGAAGTCCTTTAACCTCCATTTATGTTATATAAGTGTTAATTGTGGCTGCGAATTAACCCACCCACCATCGTCATCTTGCTTCCTTTCGCATGAAGTATGCACTTAAGAATGCGCTGAGTGGTAGAAGAAAGCCGTCTACACAAAAAGTGGAAAGCAAAAGTTCTGAGAAAAGTTAAACTTTTGATATTCGTTATTCGCTACATGCGCGTATACCCTTTAAGCAGCGATACAGTTGTGAGACATTTCAAGAGCATTCGTGGAACTTTTTTAAAAAGCGTTTTAATAGAATTTTGGTGTTTACTCCTTGCGACAACCTTTGGTGACATTGGTAGATCGTTAGGTGGTGTTGAGCTGGTGACTTTCAGAAATAACGTATTTGCTTTGTATACTCATACACCTACGTATGTATATAGGACTAGTAGAAAGAAATCTATTATTTTTCTATTAGATGGCTTTAGTAAACTGTATCTCACGTTGTAAAAGTAAGATCGCTTTAGGACATATAGCGTTAGCAGGGTAATATTTCATCATAATAAAAAAAATTTCTTTAGTTTTGTGATTGCTTGACTCAGTATAGTTTGAGCACGCGTCAGAGATGGACATCAGAAAAGAAGAAACATGAAATATTTTACAGTTTTTCATCGATTAAGGTGAAAATGCAAGCCAAGCGGCGGAAAATATGATTAGTGTTTATGGTCTTGATATTGTAACGGGCAATCACGCGCAATTTTGGGTAGGGAACGACAGTTCCGGTAATTTTGATGTCAAAGCTGCACCATGCTCTGGAATACTAATATGAATAAAGCAGTGAAAATCATCGAGTTCGAACGTCATGTACCATAAGTACTGTTTCGATTGCCCATGAGATAAACATTGCACAAAAAAACAGTTTGGATCTATTTAAATACGGTTAAATACAAAAGGAAGCTCGATGTATCGAGTTAATGCAAATAAACCTCATGGACCGAGTTTTCATCTGCGAACCGCTGTTGAATCGCAACAAAATCGATCCATTTCTGTAGCGGATGAAAACGGTGGTGATCAAATCGCGGATTGCGCCGGTGGAAACGATGCTTAAGCCAGGAGATTGTCAGGAAGGATTTGCTGTGTGTTTCGTGGGTTTGGCAGGGAATAATCTACTATCGAGCTGATCCACTATGACAAAACTGTTAATTTGGACCACTACTGTCCACGATTAGACCGTCTGAAGGAAGTAATCGCTGAGATATGTCCAGCTTTGGGGAAAATATCTGCCTTGAGAACAACGTCAGACCACATAGTACATCGATAGTTATGCATCGATTTTATAGTCCGAACCTGACATCAAGTCATTACTACCTTTTCCTGTATATGGCGAAAGAATTTGCTGTGAAGAATTAGCTTGGAGAGAAGTTTGTGAAAAGCGACTGTCCCAATTTTTACCAATATGGATATTTCATATTTGCCTTAAGGCGGATCATTCTAACTACTTAAGTTGAATAGAGCTTCAATTTAAATGAAAATGAAAAATAATGTCCTTCCTTGTAGTAGACCTATTTGTATTATAGTTATATATCATAATTGTCCATAAACAAGCAACTGGCTTAATACTTTGTTAGCCTTGACTTAGTGATATTACGAGTACAAATTCCATGTGGTTGGAAGAAAAATAAGCAGTAGTGACTTAATTTTATGTACTGAGTGAGTTTAATACTCTATAATATTAAAAACTGCCCGGTAATCTTGTTGTATTATTTATTGCTATTTTTTTATATAAAAAACTAAGAGATTGAATATTAAAGCATTTTTTTATAATCCGCTTAGAATGAAAGGGGTCGTTCGTGACACAATTTGATAATTCAAGTATTTCTTATACACTCACTTTCTTCAATATAACCTCAAAGCGGATACATTGCTTGATCACAGCTTAGATATCAAAACATATTTCAAAAGGCGGAAGCTATAATATGCACATATTCGAAACCGAATTTCAACATTTACTCTAAATCTTCTAGAAGCTGTAGTTTTATACCTTTCGAAATCTACATAGATTTTGAACATCTATACATAAATGTCTTCCGACTCATAAATATCTGTTTTTTAAATTGTTTACAAATAAATAACCCCAACAAACTTAATTCAGAAAGTTATAGCAAACTAAAACTTTTCAAAAACAAGCTTTTGTGACATTTTGCACATCCCAACATGCATTGGACGAGCACTCAGTGGCACTTAAACTTTACCAACTACTATTTTCCCGCATCTTTCCAATTACTGATTTTCTTGCCTACTTTTCAATGTACTTGTACTTATGTGGCTGATGGCAAAAACTCGCTGTTCAATGGATCCAAACCATCAACAACCAAACGCCGCGACTTAAAATAAAAAATAAAAAAAAAATAACGCTTAACTCTTGTCTACAAATCGATTTGGCGACCAATTATAGTATGTTTACGTAAGTTAGAGGATACCGAGAATGCGTTCAAGGCATTTCAGCGGTCGAGTGATATACAACAACAACAACAACTGGATGCCGGACGTAATCCACTTGTACATTTGAACTTTGCGCTCTTTTGTTACGAGACCGGACGCGTTGCGCTTGCCACGGAACAATTTACACGCTTCGTTAGCTCCTCGCAGGATCTCCTCCTACCGACCGAAGTAAGTTTGAGACAATTGCAAAAAGCGCAATGGGCTTATGCGGTGCGGAATTGGCGTTGACGAAGTAATTTCTTGAGGCTGCTCTTGCATTTGCAATAGTTCTAGCAATAATAGCGGTATTTTGCAGTTGTTAACTTTGTGCATTGTCTCTCTATTTGTACATACATACGTATATGTACATATGTAGTAGTATAGTTCCTTTGTGGATTTATTGCTTTTACTTCATAGTTGTTGCATTTTTGTTGTAACTAATAATCCCTTACGTAAGCTCTAAATGAAATTGACAGCTGCTAAATGCATAGTTTGTACATTCTTTAGTTGTAGTTGTTGTTAATATAGCACTTGTCGTTGTTAGAGTCTAATACTGTTACAAATACCCAGTTAGCAAATTGATTCGTATTTATAGTATGCATATCATCCATTGTTGTTGCTTTTGTAAAATATTGAAATTAAATTAAAATAATATAACTAATTATTTTTATAGACATATACTGCACTTCGAAGATTAATACTTGTAGATAAAAATACCGTATCAATATTTAGACGCACTGAAAAAAAAGACAAACATTTCTCGTTTAAACAAATCTTTATTATTGCACTCAAAATAGGCTTCTGAAACAATACAAACATGGCAATGCTTACCAATTTTCCACACACTTTCTCTCTTTTGTGTGAAACCTCTATTCGACTTCGTTTTTACAAAATATTTAGATCTCTTTGTGCGAGTATAGCATTGACAGCCTTCATACTCAAAACATTAAACAAAATGTTTGAGTCGATCCACAAGAGATGCGGCGGTCCTCTCCAAACCAAAGAAACCAAATAGTATTCTTTTCGAATATACAGATATATTACAATTGTCAGATATGAGTCTACCTAACCATATCTCTATATATTTTGGCTGTCTTTCCTTCTCAGCAGAGTCCACAGCTATAGGGATGACTTACTTTTCATGCAAACTTCACAAAGAGTGTCAATGATCTACTTTTGTGAATGTCATTATCAAGTCTAAATCTAATATCTAACTTATAATTGGATATGGCGGTTTATCTGTTTTAAGCTGTCTGCGTAAATGAAGTTTTCTTCTCACAAATCCTAATAGACATTGGATAGTCTCTGATTTGGATTTAGAGGTATGCAGGATTTTGCAGCCATCGCCTTCTTTGTCCAGCTCATGAAAGTGTCAGTGACATTCGAACTTGCTATTGTCCATGACAATGTAAATTATGTTAACGGACTACTGGAGTAGAAGCAAGTTAACAATATTTCTATTCGGCGAATTTGTATATATGTAGGTACTATATTTAGGATTACATTGAGAGTCCTCTCAGTGCGGTCAGTGCTACACAAAGAGTTTCTGATCTCCTTATCAATAGCAGAAAGCTTTATTTGTTTAACACCAAATCGCCGAAATTGCGGTAAACTGCAAAGTAGATGAACTTGTTAGAGATCTTCTTACGGTACTCCATTGCGATCTAGTCGATTCGGAGATAATTTCCTCATCGATTCTATAAACAGCGTTTCGACGAAAAAGCGTCTAAAGTTTCGGGAACCGCTTACACTAAGTTAACAAATACTTACAAAAACGCGTTTATCTCCCAAACTAAATGGCAGATCAACTTTTTAAAAACTATGTAAAAAAATTGATTTTTTTGAAAATTGCAACCTCTTAATCCATACAATTTAATAAGCAAAACAAATTAATATTCAGTTAGCATGCAATTAAATAATTTCCAATTCTTGAATTCGAAACGTATAAAAAATATTTGCGAAAAACATGGCAAGACAATTATTTTTTATGCATCTGCTATTTAATTGTCTAAGTAGTAAGTAGTAAGGCAATTAAAATCAAAATTTAACATGAAACTAAACTTTTCAATAGAAATATGAAATTTTAATATCATTAATTGCTGGCTGGGTGTTTATACAAGTACGTATGTATGCGAAAAACACACTTATATAAGTATAATTGTGTTTTAAGTAGTTCGTAGTTCGCAGCTTGTTTGCGTCAACTTCTAATTGCCTGCCATTCCAGTTAGCAAACTGCAATTTGTAATGTAATGTTTTCTGGTTGATTTTACATCTGTAGCAGCTACTTAAATTTGTTTGTAGTAATGTGTGCGCTGGTGAATGCTAATCGATTGGGTTAGTTCTAAACTTTAGAATCTAAAGTAATTTAATACACACAAGTACTTAATTGTCTAGTGGCATTATTAGTTGTAGAAATCACGCTATTTGTTTGTATTTACCTATTTATTTGATATTATTGTACCTGTGCTTGTAATACTTGAAATAGTGCCAGATATACATTTTAGCACCTACACGTATACACAAATCTACAGTAGTGGTCAGACAATGGTTATTACCGCAATTTGGCTCAGATTAAAATAGTTCATGACACATAAATAAGCAAGTGTGCTAGTAAATGAATAGTAAATTTCGAAAGGAAATCCTGCGGTGTTTTTATATAGTAAATACAATATTTTGTATTTGTGTAACATGGCGTATGAATAACATATTTTTATTTTAGGCGGTACACCTAGTAGTGACAGGCTATTTTTGAGCATTAAAAAAGCTACTGTATTATTTTAAAATTAGGGAGATTTACCTATATATATTTAAGGAATACATAAGAAAACTTTTATATAAATATTAAAAATTTTTCAAGTTACAAGCGTAGATAGAATATATTTTTCGTACAATGACCAACCAATGACCATGCAAAAAATATTAAAAAGTAATAGAATGATTTGTCTCCGAGTAATGACTAAATCAAATTCGAAAAATGCTGTTTGGAGAAATACGCGCTTAAACATAAACTGATAGCTGATTGAACTGAGCGGCTACACTTTTGAAAGCCGTTACTCAAATTTATTTGAGATATCGATTTAAAATTTTAGTAAGTTATTTTCAAAAGCTTAATATAGCAAAAAAAAAATATTAAAAATTATAAAAACACAACCGTAATTAAATTATAAAACACTGTTCAATTTAGCTTTGCCAAAAAAATATAAAAATAGCGTTGGACTGAAATTAAATGGTTTAGAGTAATATTTTCTAAGGAGTCGAAAATCAGTTTTAATCAATCGGTAATGCTTCATATGTGTGACGTAAGGTTGAGAAAGATTTGAAAAATTTACTACAGCTAGTTAGAAGTACCCACCAAGCAATATACTTTGGGGTTAGGATAAAGCATCATTTGTGTGAATTTTAAAACGTTATTTGACCGGTGGACTTGTCTCGCTGTATATTTTTATACTTAAGTACGTTTAAGTCCCACAGAAGCACAGTAAGGTGACGAAAACCGAATTTTTTAGGAATAGCTATATTTTACGCTTTATATTATATCAGTTTCTGCTAAAAAAATTACTTGACGACACAATTTATATTTAAATTTCAATAAAAAATATGAATTTTATTTCAATACATACCATATAAATTTTTTTAGAACAAAACTAACCTATAATAAAAATTGCCTTTATCTCACCACTACTGTTTTGCATTAATAAAAAATATATACATTGTAAAAATATATACATGTATTTTCATAAATTGTTGTAATTTACAAATATTCTGCAGGTTGCTTAGCATATACTCGTAGATATAGTATATATAACATAGTGCAATAAAAACGATTATATGTTCACGATTTTGTTTTAATAAATTGGAAACTTTGTACTTTGTAATTAGTGCTAAAAGTTCATATTGATTATTTTAGTGAAAAGTAGTTATTAGTAGTCATTTTCGAAAATTTCCATATTTGCTTAATAAAATGAAAATATTTTCATTAATCTGCATACATACACATACATACATATATTATAGACATTTTCTGAAAGTAATTACCGTACTTAATAATTAAAGGGTAGAAATGTTAAAAATGCTTCGGTTAATTCTCAGTAAATTCTGCAAATTGTTTACTTGAGTAATTTGAACTGAAAAAAGTTAAATAAACAAAAAATATGACAGGTTATTACATAGGGCTTTTGCATTTAAATCGTCGCACATCATATTTTGGTTACAGTTGGACTACAGCTTATCAAGGACCAAATACCGAATATGAAGAACTGAATGTTGGCTTTCTTCGGTTTCGGCTCATTTTGGAGCGCCATTTCCTAGATTGTTGTACAGTTTCGACTACACTTGACACCCTTCATACCCAAAACATTATCTAAAACGGCTGAAACGATCCATGAGATATGTTGAGAACCTCTGCTACCTCTCTGATGCTAACATGTTGATATTCAAGTATGGTTTCTTTGACTTTTTTTGATGTATGGACGTTTCGCATGAGGCAAGTTTTCGATGAATTCATGACCTTCACCAAATGTTTTGTGTCGTTCAAATACTTGTGTTCGTGCTTAAGTAGACGCCACAAAACACTTCTTTAAGATTTTCACCTACTCTACTGTCGTGATTTAATTGGAAACACAAAATTTCAAGCCAACTCGTTTTTAAATTTTTCCATGATTAAAATTGTCAGATAAATTTTTCACGTCGTAAACAAACATCTGTCAAACGCATGAACATAAAACTGGTTGTCCAATCTATGACATTTTTTTTTTCGTTTCGGTTTGGGCGTGGTAAAATAGGCAATTGTTTGCTTACAGGTTGGTTGAAAAGTTTCTGCGCTTGAAATAAAAAATTGACTGTTTTTGGTACGAAATATATTTTTTAATTCAATATAATCACTCTTAACTTCAATACACTTATTCCAATGTTCCTTCAATAATTTAATGCCATCCCTATAATGACTTTCCGGAAGCTCTGCAAAATACCCGTCTACAGCTATGATAGTTACTTCATTCGACGAAAAACGCTTTCCACGTAGCATTTGTTTCAGGTTTCTGATGAGGTAGTAGTCGTTGGAAGCCAAATCTGGTGAATATGGTGGATATTCAAGCAATTCGTACTTTAATTCGTAGTAGGTGCATTATCTTGATGAAAAATGATATTTTTGTGCTGCAAACCAGATCTTTTCTCGAGAAATTTTTCAACCAGCTCATCTAAAAGGCTGCAATAATAGTCAGAATTGATTGTTTGTGACTTCACCTGCTTTGGAGCTGAACAACCAGCTTCAGTCCACTGTAAACGTGCTTGTTTCAATTTCTGATCATGGTGGTAGATCCAAGTCTCATCCATTGTTATAAAACGACGCAAGAAATCGGTTTTATTCTGCTTAAAACGCTCCAAATTATGCTGAAACATTTCCGATCCAGTTTTTGTTGAATTGTCGCCGCACACGTTGGCACGAACTTTTCAAACAGCTTTTTCAAATGTTATTCTCCATGTAAAATATGAAGTACCCGTTCGTTGGAGATGCCTATGGCATTAGCAATTTGTTCAAGCTTTGTCAAACTTGGAGCTTCACTAATCATATTATGAACTTGCTCAATGATTTCTGGTGTGGTTACGGATTATGGTCTTCTTTCGCGTGGATCGCCCAAAATTCAACGGTGCGTTTTGAAGGTGAGGACTCTTTATACACTTCTAACAATTGTTCAGGAACTTCCTTTGCTTTTAAACCTTTCAAATCAACGAATGTAAGCACTGCGCGTTATTAAATTTTTTACATATTACAAGTATATTAAATAAATACTCTGACGCGTCAACTTCAAATGGCTCGTAAACAAAAATTAATGACCGATTGAAAAAAAGGAATTTGGATCTAGTAGTGATATTTCTTGGTGAGAGCAGACACTTTTCAACCAACCTGTATTGGCGACTTATATGGGGTCATAACAGTCTTACGATTTGCAGCAATATAAAGCAAATTTTAGGTGAAGTAAAAATTTAGTACATAAGTGGATGTGATGGTTTACATATATACCTTAGCATATGGTATAGTGGTGTGGCATTAAAATTATGTGAAATCGACTCCTTATAACAAGAATATTAATTATTTTCGTATGGTTCACTTTAATAAACATATATATAGATGGTTAAGTATGATTGGGAGATCGCATTGAATGACTTGAGTCTGCCCCTACGAACTGCAGACATTTTTTTTTATATATCGGACACTTCTTGGTGGGCAAAATCAACACACACGAACATATTATTTCTAAAAGCAAATTTTTCAAAAACTATTAATCGTTTGGATCCATCTTAAAAAATGTAGTTATTATTATATACTCATATTTACTCGTGGTCGTATTTCTTTGTGCTCTTTCAGTAATTTTTTTTTTGCTTTTGTCGCCATTAGAACTTTATTTAAACTCACGCTGAGCACTTCTGTTATCGAAAATATAACTAATGAATTGCAGTAAATCTCACTTAAGCAAAAACAGATGATTCTCAAAGATTGGTCCGAAACTGGCTTGCAACTACTTAAATATCACCAGATAAATCGGCGATGTGATAAAATTGAAATTGACCTTGAAAATGCTGCAAGTTCTTAAGTTTGACCACTGTTTGAAACACTTAAAAACTTTACGTACCTAGTACTCGTATGTATGAGTGTGTGTTAGTGTTGAATATAAAAATGTATTAAGTGTTTTGCGCTTTCAGCCTGACTTGGCCCTTTTTATTTATTTTCATTGTGTGAGTGTGTGTGTGTGTCTTTGTATTGCAGTGTTTATAACTAAAATTAAAAAGCGCCATGCTGCCACAAAAGCACTTCTTATTATATTAACAATTTTTCACTTAAAGTGCTAGACATTTTGCACAGATGTTTCTACTTGTTGTTGTTTCATTTTAAATGTAGATAGTTGTTGTCTTATGTATTTCACATTGTCACTCACGCTGCGACGGCTAGTCTCTAGTGCAAGGGTACGCAAGCAGCACGTGCACACAGATATGTATGTGTGTGCTTGTGTGGGTGTGTGTTTGAGTGTTTAACTGTGTGAGTGTGTTTGCAGACACCAACTTTAAGTAGAGTCATCACTATCATGCTCATATTTCCCATTTTGCTTCTTCTACAAATTTGCCCTTTTTGTTTTTTCTTTCTACTCTTTGCGCGCTTCTACGATTTTCTTTCATGCCGTCGCACTTCAGTATAAATTCCATGCGACTAAATTGAAATCGCTTCTCAAAATTCCAACAAGTAACATTTTGACATCAACACCAACGGGACCTGCGAGTGATGCCAATGCTGAAAACGACGGCCAACATATTGGCATCAGCAACAGCAACGACAGCAGCGGCGGCGGTATGAGCAACACTAGCATAGATGACATCTATGGAATTTATGGTGTGAAACGTCAAGCAACCGGGAGTAAGCAGGAATTGCACAACACTAAGGCGAGAGCACTGGCAACAGCTGCGCTGGCGGCTGCGACCACTACGTCATCCGCAGAAATGCCGCTTGAGGTGAACGCTGTGGTCAATGCCTGACATGAGCATGAGTGACGCGTTGGCCGCAGCGAACTGCTACCACAACAATCACCAAACAAAGTATATCCTAACACTAGCAGCCACATTTATAACAAAAGCAATAGTACGAATGTCAACGACAGTGAGCAGTTTGAGCGGAGCACGCGAAGCAATTGTGGTGAGGATGCTGACAATGATGGCGCAGACAATGCGGTGACACGTTGTGATGAAAGTAAAAAGACCACAATCTTGACCCAGAGCAATAGCGATGACAGTGTGGACAGCTGGTATCGGCATTGTGGCTGTTTGCCGCGCACAACTTGGCCAACATGAGTAAGACGACTTCAGTGGATGCGATACTTCTAGGAATGCTGCAAACCACATAAAATAAAAATTATACAGAAAACAGGAACTTTGTGTAATAAAAGGAATAAAATATATAACAACATACATAAATAAAGGATAGACACTAGTGGTCAGTTAAAAGTTAATATATAATATTTTAAAAAAGGCCGAATTTATGGTAGAAAGGCTGCATTGTATTTTTCCTGCTATTTTTATACCCTGAACAGGTTTGCCACGAAGTTTGTAACACCCAGAAGGAAACGTCGGAAACCCTATAAAATATATATAGGTATAAATGATCAGCATGATGAGCTGAGCTGATTTAGCCATGCCCGTCTGTCCGTCCGTCTGTGTTTTTAAGCTATCGATCTGAAATTTTGTACCTGTCCTTTTCTCACTAAGAAGCTGCTAATTTATCGGAAAGACCGATATCGGACCACTATAGCATATAGCTGCCATACAAACTGAACAATCGGAAGCAAGTCTTTGTATGGGAAACTTTTTTATTTGACGTAATATCTTCACGAAATTTGGCATGTGTTCTTTTCTAAGGTAACAATGAAATTCCCGAAGAAATTGTTTTGATCGGATGACTATAGCATATAGCTGCCATACAAACTGAACGATCGGAATCAAGTGCTTGTATGGATTTGACGAGGTATCTTGACGAAATTTGGTATGAGTTATTTTCTAAAGCAAGAATATAATCTCAAAAAAAAATCGTTTAGATCGGATCGCTATGTCATATAGCTATCATATAAGCTGAATGATCGTAGTAAAGTGCCTGCATGGAAAAAAATTTTATATTTATTGTCGATTCACAAAATTAGATCTGAATCAAGTTATTAGAGAGAACCTTTGTATCTGTGAAGGGTATTATAGCTTCGGTGCAACCGAAGTTAACGTTTTTTCTTGTTTTTTTTTTTAAATATATTATATTAATGTAACGGTATAAAATATTTTAAAAGTATTTAATTACTTCTAAGGTCATTGTTTTTATTGTAATACGTGTTTTATTCAGGGATGATATTTTGTACCGCTCGAAGTGCTGTAAATTTTAAAAACAGTTTAATTGTTGCACTTCAAAATCAAAATTATTTAATAGAAAGCATTGTAAAGCTAATAACGCTGTTTTGAAGCATGTAAACTACGGATCTAAGGACTCTAACAAAAATAACATAACAAACCTCACATAAAAAATACTGAAGTGATAGTAATCCATGTAGAAAAGTCCAAATAGAAAAGTTTCCCATACAAAGTCTTCATTTTGATCGTTCAGTTTGCATGGCAGCTATATGTTATAGTGATCCGTTATTGGCGGTTCCGACAAATGAACTATTTGATGAGAAAAGGTTGTGTGCAAAAATTCAGATCGATATCTTGAGATGACTACTTTCCATATATACAGACAAAGAGATGGATAGACAGACGGGCATGACTAAATTGACTCAGCTCGTCACACGCTGGTCATTTATATATACATTTTAGAGAGGCATTGATGTTTCTGGGTATTACAAACTTTGTCGCAAACTTAATCCTGTTTAGGGTATAAAGATATGATTTAGAGAAGAGTTTCTACTTTTTACTATTTTCAACCGGTTAAAAAATACCCAAAACTATGTATTTATAAGTTGAATCACTGTGCAAACTGACAAGCCTCTCCGACGAGAATTTCGGATACGATAGGTATTGCGTATTTTTTTAAAGCGTAGGTTTACTACTGTTTTCCATTATTTTATTTATGAAATCAGCTGTATTTGAATACCTTACGGATATTCTGAAGTTATTATTTCCTATAAAAAATACTGCCCAATGCTATTGAAAATAGGCCCTGTGTTCCACCTGACACCTGTGTAACTTTTATCTGACCAACAGTGTCGGCATATGTACACATGTCCACTAGCGCGCATCCTTCGGTATTAATCGGTAACATTGTGGGTCACTATAATGTGACAGGAAATGCTTAGCTAATTGTAAAATTAAGAGATACTCTGAATTATTATTCACAGAGTGGAGTGTGTTTTGTGCCAAGTTTTAAGATATCTAGTTTTGTTGTTTTATTTATAATATTGCTTAACTCTTGCCTGCTTTAATGTTGCTGACATTTCTCAAAATACCTTATAATCAATGTGGATAAAGGAAGAAAGCTTTAAAAATAAATATTTAGTTGTTTGTGTTGTTACAAGTCTTGCAGTCAAGAAAGGATTGTATATGCCTATGTGTTAAGGTGGGTATGAAAACGAATATTTTTTCCGCTCTCTTTGTAGATCTTTACATTTCTTACAAAACTATGAGCTTTCCGATTTATAATGATTGCGATGATTTTTTTTTCATTGAGTTATAAAATTCGTTATTAAAATAATCAACCGTTATTATCTTATAAACAGTTAGGTTTACAAAAAATTGTAAGAGACCTTTTTGTCGAGCATACATTTTGATATAAAATCTATGATACGAAAAAATGTTTCAAAAGGTTGACTGCGAGATTTGAATTTTCCTATTTGATAATTAGAACTCTGATCTAATGTAATTTTTTCTCCATGCCAATTTAATGAAAAATGGAAAGTTCGGAGCTCAAATTGTAAGAAAATTCTTTTTTTACGTTCTAAAGTTTTTAGCCTTTCTTGTTGAAAAAATTTGTATCATTTTTAAAATGAACCGGTCGTACGAATATTATTAGTCGCTATATGCCGGCTAGGCTAAAGTGTGGACTCTTTTCATCAAGCTTTAGTATAGAATCACGATAGGCTAAAATAAATATTCTTACTTACTTTAAATAAAAATATCTAACTGCTTAATCGATATGTACGTTATGAAGCCAATCAGAGGGACAAAAATATTAATATCGAGTATACAGAGTTAATAAACCTCAAATATTTACATGTATACTGTGGATAGAAATCTTTATATTTCATGTATGAGAACAGAGGAAAATACGACTTAATTCGAACATTTTTACCCTCATATTCTTTATATGAGGGCTAGAGGAAGATACAATATATTTTGAATTGGATTATGATTGACTAATTTTTTGAACCGGTTTCTATTCAAATAAAATCACTTAAAAAACTGGTTCAACTTTTAAGTTATGTTGTATCCCATAATTAGGTAGTTTTTAAGTGAATAATACTGATTTTAGGAAATTCTTGTGTATCCTTTTAACTAAAGTGTAGTTCAAGAAAACTTACCATTATTCTTTCGGGAATATTACGACATTAAGCTATGAAAATAAGAAATAATAAGAATGTTGAAAATTATTTATTTTAGTTTTGATCCTACGAAAGATTAAAAACAAATCAGTACAATTTACATCAATAACACACAGAAAAGTCATTATATATACTGTTTTACTCGAATCAAGAGATAAATCCATTGCTTTTTTTAAAAATGTATGGGCAATTGAAAGCTTTGCTCAGCATTGATAGGGGAGCTCTTCGGAAAATGTTGCATCATAAAATAATAATTATTTTTGTATTTCTATAAACAAAACTTTGGTGCGGCGTTTTATGGATGTCGGTATCATTGGACTCTTTGTTTTTAGTAATTTTTTCAAACACTGAATTTAATATTGAATAAGCCATTCATGATATAGAGCTAGAAACCGAAGATTCCAGAAAACTATGATATCTACTATCGGTAAGTAGATCTAGTCTTTGTCACACGTCATCTGAATGGTTTGATGAATAGATGAATAATATCTAATTATAAAAGTCCGTCCGTATTGTCTGTATATATGCGAACTAGCTCTTCAGTTTGAGAGATATTCATCTGAAAATTTGCACCCGTCCTTTACCGGACCATTATAGTATATAGCTGTCATGCAAACTGAACGATCAAAATCAAGTTTGAAATGGAATCTTTTGTATTAGTGAAGGGTTTAATAGATTCGGTGCAACGGCAGTTAACTCTTTTTCCTGCTTCTTAATTAGGAACTCTTATTGTAAACCATTTGCTACAAAAGAAAAACTTCTTTGTTCATTTTATATGTAATTCTATGCATAGTCGTAATATAATTTTATTTTCAAACATTAATTTTTTCAACATTTTAATCACGATTAGTATTTTTTATCATACAAAATATACACAAATGCATTATGTGGCTGCTTTATACTTTTACTTTTTCACTTACCTACATACTTTTATATACAAATTATTATTTATGAGCTATTAAATTTAAATTTCGATTGATAATTTAAAAGATTACTTCAGTTAAACATTAGAAATGAGACAAAAAAATGTCATAAATAGATCACACGAAAATAATTTAATTAACATATTTTTCCATTACTCTTTTTGATTACTTCAATTCACAGGTGTGAATTTTATGTTACGGTTAATAATCTAAAAGATATTTTTAGTTCAACAATCAAAATTATTAATTACATATAATTAATAATCTATTGTAATTGAAAGTAATAAAAAAATAATCATAATTTTTCGAAATTCTATAGTTTTTGATTATCGCTATTTTACTTCTAATAGTTCCAAATATGCTTATTTTTGATGATAATAATTTGTTGAAAATAAATAAGTGATAATAATGGTAATTATTTATCTTAAATAAGTTGTACTTATCGCTAAGCATTACTATTAATAAGCACAATTCGACAGCTCCGCATTATTTAAATTAATTTTATTATTAAATTTTTAATAAATTTTTATTAGAAAAATATGTCTGCCAATATGCAATATAAATAGTGTTATTCGATTACTTTAATATTAATTTATATTTTTACCTTTTTAACTTAATGATATAAATAAATTTGTTTTGAAACCGAAATACTCACTAATAGGCGCTAATTACCAATTGAACAAGATTTTGTGTTTCAAAATAAATATTCTGCCACAACCATTGACAATTATTATTATTTACTTACAAATACAACAAGGACAGCTATTAACATTATTTGTTTTTGTTGTATCTAATAAATTGGAAGTGACTGCGTGGCACATTCATACACCTATAAGTATATACACTCCTGCAGTCAAATTTTCGTGAATTGGTTATAATGTGTACGTACATACATATATTTAGTCTCATTTTAAGATTTATTTTAGGTACTTAAGTGTAATCTAAGTGTTTACTGAATATCCAACTGCAAAATACACTTCTATAGGGCTCAATTAGAAGACGTATGTTGCGCTGGATGTTTTTTGTTTATACCTAGGTATATCATCAGAATGCTTAACCATTTTAATTAGACTTTTTAAGTGTTATTTCATAACAAACATTCAGATGCTGATAACTATGCATTGGCAATTATATGCTTTATACATATATACATTACTTATTATCGCGCTTAAAATGATCGTTGTCTGCTTGGATACTGCTGAAGTGCTCTGTTAAAACACTACCTCAAACCAAAAATTCAATAAGTTACGATTACCTTTTAATTAAAATATGTTTTCGTAGTTTGACTTGAAGTTTTAGTGCGGATATTAGCGGATATCGCAAACATTATTGTAAAGAGCTGCAGCTACCACAATACAAACCGATTTTCGTATTAGAAGAACACTTGTAATGTTATATCTTCTTAGCTGCGGCTAACTATTCTACACCCAGTTAAACTCGCAGAACTGGAGCAGCTTTCATAGTATCTGCTACTATTAACGAGGTTACGTTATAATTTTCCCAATACTCTTTCAAATTGCATGCTTCAATGCATTTTTGTAATACAAGATGTATAGAATAGCGACCATTTTTCTGCCTTAACATAAGTGTGGCTTCGTCTTAAGGAGCTGTATATCAACTTGTGCATTTCAAAAAATCGATTTTTATTGCATACATATATTGTTCATATATTTGAAAATACTGTGCGAACAGTTTTGGAAATATGAGCATATTTATAAATGCCTTTTCTCGAAATGCAGTTTTTAGAGTCGGTGATTTCTACGAAAGGCTGGACTGATCGACTTGAAATCCTCACATGACCATCTTATGGTAGATATATTTGTCAGATAATGATTGAAGGAGTAAAATTTTTAATAAACATTTCGTTTTTTTAGCCACTCTGTAGTGTACATTTTTTTTTTGTAGACGCTATTTCATCAAATTTTTGACTCGTCTGTAGTAACAATAATTTGTTTTGGTTTTTGTATTTGAGATAATTTTAAGCAGTAAAATCTTCCTCACCGCCAGCTACATTTTTTTAGAGGTCCTCCTGGAGATCGGTGGCGGAATCCAAGAAAACTAAAGTTATTCAGAATTAATCGCAGATTATTAAAGTACGTTAAATTCCGTAAATGTACATTTTCTTTAATTATTTATTACTCTACAAAACAAAAAAAATTTCAACCAAACGCGTTTTTTCTGACTTGCAAGTGGGTACAACCGCTGAAATAAATCCATAAAGAGTCGTAATTGTTTGGTAATAACTCTTCGCACAAATTTAGATAATTTTATTTAAAGAATTTGGAAATTATTATTATTTTATATTTTATGATAGACTTTTTTCGAAGACAAGCCATACAAGTTAACTGCACAACGGTTTTTCTTTCATCTTTTCAATTCCTTTGAATCTAACAATATCGGGTTCCGCTAATACTAGCTCTTTAGCGCATAATTTCAAGTACTAAATTTACTAAATGTTTATAAGAATTGTGAATATTAACTCAGCTCATGATGGTTGCACAGAGGTAGTGTGAGTTAACACTCTCTTGGATGAATTTTTTTATAAAAGAATAAATTTTAGTAAAAACTAATTATTTTATTTGTATATTGTATATATTTTTTGTTGTATATTTTTCAATCATTTAAGTGTAAAAATTAAATAGTTTTTTTCACTATAGGAACTAATGAAATACCCCAAATGTTTATTTAGAAATAATCTGCGACAGTTATGAGTTTTCAGCGATAGTGACCTCAATTACTTTTGGTGAAAAGTATTAAAGAAACCCCCTGTCCTGACACATTTTCTATAAGTATTTTCATATTAAAAAATTTTAATATATAGAGAACTTTGTAAAATAAAATGTTCATTTTATATTTTTGGCTTTGGATTGCACAAAAATGTGGTAACACAACCAAAAAAAATGTATATATTAAAATTTATTTTGTTGAAGTTTTTAAAATTTTTTTGTTTAACCATAATTTATATAATATATTAATTACTATTTTTTAATTTTTGGTTCATTTCTTCTTGCTAATATTATTATTATTTTTTATACATGAAAATATTTAATCAATTATGTAATCTCTTTGTATGTATGTAATCGTAATGTTATTGAATTGATGTTTTGTTAGTTTTTTAGATTTAAATTTGGATTATTTATAAGCTTTGAAGCACAGAGCTGCGTATACGTGCTATGTATTGACGGCTATTATTACAAACTGAATCTTTTTTTTTTATAATTTAGCAGCTCGTTAATAGTACTTAATATGTTAATATACATTTAATGTATTTTTGTACAATTCTCTTTAAACTATTGTATATATTTGTATATTAATTGATTATTATAATTTCTTACTCATATTAATATTTTTAACGTTTATAGTTTTTCGTTAAATTATTTGAGCTTATCTTTTTTTTTTAATAATTTAATAAGTTAATATACATATACATATATAATATATAATACGTAAGTAGCTTACAAATAATTATACAAATATGATTTTTGTTTTCTCATTTTTGAATGAATGGCACTTCGTTTTGATGAATCTCACTAGCTCAAAGCTTATACTAATATGTTATATAATATCCAAAGTTAATTATTTTTTTTTTGGAAACGCGCCCGCAAGTTTCAGTTTTGGTCCTTAAAATAACGATTTAACGCAAACAAGCGCTTTATTTTCAATTTAAACCATGTACACCATGTCGTATGAGCAACACAGCATGTATAAATCACTTGTTTGATTGCCAAGTACAAGTATATTTGACGTATTAGTTTGACTGCGTATACCTCTTAAAGGAATGTTTTTATGGAAAAATCATTAAGACTTTGTTTGTAGCGCATATACTCTTGTATTAGAATATTACTGTTTTAAATTTGTAGAATTACTTGCCTAATGAAAAATATCCAAAACATTCCATGTTGAATATGTGGGAAAAGTAAAATGATTTAGGTACCTTTTGTTTTGAAAATAAATATTTTTTTTATATTGGATCCTGTTTTTAGCTTAAAAACTGAAATTTCACGAGGCGTTTGCATAAAAAAAAGTTAACTTTTGGAAATAACGGACACCCTAATATAATATATGCACATATAGGTATATCTATTTAGTTCATAAATCTTAATTAACAGTTATTTTGTGTGTTTTAAACGCTGTGCTTGGCAAAATGTTTAATTCAAACTTTACTTATTTATTTATTTATTTTCATAATACTTTATATTTTTGTATGAATTTCTGGTAAAAAGCAGTACATTAACACTTAGGTCTTCTTATTTAGTAATATTAATATAGTGGATCCCTAAAAAATCTAGCTTAATTCACTATAAAACTTAACAAGCTAAAATATAAAAAGACATTGAACTTTCATCAACCATTAGCAGACAGTCTCAATTATCGAGCGAATAAAGTGCCCCATTAACCACCACTCACACTGACATACAAGACACACAAGTATATTACACACAATTAAGCTGTACATATATATGTACATAATTAACTAACTGTTGAATTAACATGTTGTGCCAACAGGAGGAACACCTTGACTCTAGCTAATTTCTGTAAGACATACATAAATACAAAAAGGCTGAGCACTACGCTAACAATTTAAACTGCTACTGTTATGCAATATATAACATATGTATGTGTGTAAATAAATACATATGCATATAATATTGCATATAACTGTAAATTCGTTGCGAACTAAAATTACGAATTTTTATGTAACGACTAACGCGCTCTAAGTATATAATACATGATCTTGCTGAGATATATACATACATATATACAAAGAAGCATACGCACACACATACGAATACATATGCACTTATATATGCTTTTTCCGGCCACGCATTAGAGTCCGTTATCGACAAAGCCGACTATTTTTAAACCATACCATGTATGTAATAAGCCGCTTAACATTCAACACAGTCCTTGCAGCATTTGCAGCATTTAAAGCAGTTAAGGTGACCCTCCACACCGGAGTCAAACACACGTCGTGGTTACCCGCGTTAATCGTGTCATTTCCATGCTGCCGAAATTCTTTTTGAAAAACAACGATTTGAATGTTGTACGGAATTGTTTTGACATCAGACCGTAGAGTACGAAGCCGACAGCGGCATTGATAAGCGCCAGCAGATCCATCATTTCACCGAATGGTGGATAGCAAACAAAGAAGAAACATTTCTCCAACACACCCGACAATAAACCCAGTATGCCTTGTGGGAATTCGGTGACCAGAAAGAGTATGAGTACGGCGACCAGCAGCATGGTGGTGCGATCGGTGCGACGATCACATTTTGGAGGACTGTGAAAAATACGAAAGTGAGTTAAATCCGTTTGGTAAATATCGTTTCTTAAATTTATTCAAATATATTAGTTAGAAATTAGTGCTCCATTAGAAATTATAATTTTTTTAATGTTAAGATATGCGTAATATGTTGATTCATACAAGTAATTCGAGGGATGCTAGATTCGTTGTACCGTTGTTTAGTGCTTCGTTAGATATATCCGAGAGAATTCTGCATAAATAGAAATTTAACCAGCCACTACAACCAGTTTGAAATTGTGCGGTTATCTGAAAATGTAACTCGAGTTGCACGTCTTCGATTATTTGACCAAAATTAATTAAATTAAGGGAAGAGAGTTGAGGAATGTTAAATTTCGGTTTCGCAACTTTCGCTATGTATTCTGTGAGATATTGCATGTGGTCAATATAAAATAGAAACGTCTTCTTGACTTTCTTGGTGCTGGGTTCGGCTTTTGCCAAGTGTCTATAGAAGTGACTTCTAAAAAAATATCTTCCGTCTAGTATCGAAAATGGTCAAATTCGTTTCGAAATATACAGTTTATTTTCATGTCTTCATGTAACATCTCATTAAATTTGACCTAGGCTGATACATTAAAACTGCACGCGAACCGAATCGATAAAGTTTTTTCCCCTAGATTGGTACGTGTTTGGCAGACTATGATACCTTTTGTAAAAACAGAGTGTTGTAGCTGAGTACCTTACATCCATCGAGCGCATCATTGCTGCTGACGAAACGTGGATTTATGAATATGAGCTCGAAACTGTCTATCAATCTAGGGAATGGCGCTTCAAACATAAGACGAAACCAAAAAAAAAAACTTAAATTCACTGAAGGCACCGCAGATTATAACAAATGTGCAGAAAATTGGAGTAAACGTTGGCATCCTTGTATTGTAGCTCAAGAGCCTATATTGAATGCAACAATAAAGATTTGTGTTAAAATACGTGAAAATGTACTTTTTTGTGAGTTCGGGTCAAAGTTGATCAGCAGGTAAACGTTCTAGGTCTAGTAACCAAAAAGAGATCGAAATCGGGCTAAAAGAAAGTAAATTGTATTCCTTGTCTTCTCATATGTATATATTATATTTGTATTGAAATCTGGAGGTAACTCAAAGTTTCAAATTTTGTATTTATAACTTAGGAGAACTAGCGTAAGAACAGTATAAAAGTAACTGATTTTTGTGTTGTGTGTGAGCTTATCATTTTCCCCATACATTCTATGAGAAGCTATTTTAAATAAAAATTATATATTATATTTTTATTATTATTATTTATTATTATTATATACATTTAAAAAAAATCATACGAAATCAAAGCATTGTAAATTTAATAACTGATTCACGCCACGTGTCTGACGTGCAACCTATTCAATAAATACAAATTTCTGCATCAACGCTTGTACTACATATGTACACACTTCCGTACTTCCGAAACTGGTGCGACTAAGGGTTCAGTAATTTGACACATGCTGCAAAATGATTTTATTTTTTTTTTAACAAAAATGCACCCATGTTGGTGCCAGCTAAATTCGTATTAAAAATTTATATTGCAAAATATACATATGTACCTCAATTCAATGTAACAAAATGCACGTTCTTAGAAATTGGAAATAAATTTTAAGGTGCGGAAAAGGTAAAACAATTCCGTTGAAATGCAAGCAAGCTGCAATCGCATTCGATTTTTGGATTCCGAATTTATTGTTTGTTTTATAGAAATTTTACGGAACGTTTTGTGGTTATCTTGTGTTCACTGAGCGCGGTTACTACATTAGTAATATAAATTGTGGAAATTACGTAATAACATTAATAGTTTAAACGAAGTCAGTTGGTAATTGTGCAATTTCGCATTAAATTAACTGAAACAGCTGAGTATTAATCGATAACATCGAGCATGTGCCATTAACTAAACTAGTTGCAAGTAGTCAGAGTAGAATTAAATTTTTTTGTTTTAACTTTTTGCATATTTTTGAGCATTGTGGCATTGGGCATAGTAAAAAAAATATTAAAATATCGACTGTATAAGATTTTTTTTATTTTTGTTAACTTTTGCTTATCATTGTTGTTTTTCTTTTAATATTATTTATTTTTCAATATCAGTAGATCTTTGTATAACGGTAATTATAGGTTTTCAAAAATTGTCTACAAAATGTTACGTATACGCACCGTTGTGAGTGCCGCTGCTCCGTTAAAGGTACTTCCCCGGCACAGCTGGTACCTCCATTGGCGCTACCAGTTTTATTGGGATTATTGTAGTCCTTCAGCTTTTGCTTTCGCTTCGACGCCTCACATAGCACTCGTACTAATATGAAGCTGATAACGGTTAGTATACAGCAGGGCAACAATTTAATAATTACCGAGTGAATCCAAAAGTTGATTCTATGGTAAAAAAAAAGAAGTTTAAATTTACTATTTATAATATGTTTTTTTTTATATACTTTTTTATATAAAGCACATACATATATATTTAATAATAATAGTGTTAAAATAATCTTATTAGCTGTGTTCGATTCGCCAAGTTTCAGTTCGAGCCTTACAACGAATTCAACTTGATAACTTTGTTATTTCTTTTACACACCACATACCGGCATTCTAAGCTGTCCAAGCGAGTTTCGTGTTAGGATCGACCTCTTCACCTAACCTACATATAATCAGTTATGTTGTAGAATCTGATAGTTTTCGGAATCAGAGTTGAAACCGATAAACAAATGTTTAGTGTGTATCATGAATTCAGATATTATTGGTTTGACGTTCGAAACAGAAATTGTATCGGTTTTGGGTGTTACGGAAACCAATTTCAACGGTTTTATTATTAGAAACAAAGCAAGAGGATAGTCGTTGACAGCTTTGAAATGTAAGTTTAGAAATTAATTTATATTATTATTAAGAATTAACTTATTTTTATACATAAGAATAAAACACAAAATGTCATAATTTTTGAGTTTATGAAAAAAATCCAGATATTTTAAGAGGATTTACAAAACATAATAAACAAAACATAATAATTCAAGTGGCGAACATATTTTAATGCATTTATTTCAAAATCAGTAACTTTTTTTTATAAACCATAAAAAAAATATATAAAGCAAAAACATCAAAAATATTTTGGTAAGAAAACGAAAGTGATTTAAAAAATTATTGATACAGAAAACATATGACAATTTTAATACTTTGTTGGTCCCTCTTTAGCTTTAATTATTGCTTGCAAACGCCGATGCATGCTTTTTACTAGCACCTGAGTATCAGACTTTGTAATTTTGGCACATTCAGTCTCTATAACGGCTTTTAACGTGTGCTTGGACGAAATATTGTGTTTTCGAATCCTTTTTTCTAACAAATCCCAAATATGCTCTATGGGATTAATGTCGGGTGATTGTGGTAGTGTTTGGAGTTGCTTGCAGTTATATAAAAGCCATTCGCGGACTAGATACGACGTGTGTTTTGGGTTGTTATCTTGTTGAAAAAGAAATCGGCTGCTGTCGAGAGCCAGTTTATGCACGCTTGGACATAAATTTTCCTTCAGAATGTTCAGTTATATATATTTGTCCATTTTATCTGTAATAAACTTTAAATTAGCCACGCCAGATGCAGTCGAAACACTCCCAAACCATGATGTTTCCCCCACCATGTTTGACTGTATGTAGGTATCAAGCTATTTGCTTGCATCTCTGCATTGACACGCCTCCACACTTTATGAATGCTTTGTGCAGCACATTTCTCACTATTTGAGGATTTACATTTTTTTTGTAACTCGATGTTTATATTATTCGTAATCTTTACTGCTGAAATATGCGGATTGCGTTTAACTGCGACGATAGCATTGCGTTCTTCGTGGGGCGTCAAAGCTTTTGGTCTGCCCGACCTGAGTTTTATATTTAGATCTCCGCTATTTGTATACGATTTTATAATGTTATAAACACCTGAATGGCGTTTCCCTACTATGTTGCCAATTTCACGTAAAGTTTTATTTTCCAAATATAATTTTAATATTAATTTTCTTACTTTGAGCGAATTTTTTAAACCGCGGCTCATTTTTTTTTGTTATTTCAGCAACTAATTATACTAAGCTTTAACACTTATATGCTCTCTGTCGAGCTTTTTCAAAATATTAAAAAAAAATTAATCAAACTAAAAAATCTAAGTGGCGCCATAAGCTAGATAACGGCACAGCAATCACTTAGATCATAATGCTGTTCTAGGAATGTACATACGCGTTTTTCTAACTTTTGTTAAAATATTGCGACTCCCCTGGTGCATCAAGTGTATTACTGTGACCTGTTAATATCTTCATTTCAATTTTTTCGTTGCTATTTTCTTCCAATAAATTAAAAGCTAAAGTAGCGGAACATATTGTAACCTTCAATAGATTTTATTCAATATTTTAGAAATGCTGCCAAATTTATTCATTTTCCATTTTTGTCACATTACTAAACAGTTGATTCGAATTCTGGTTTTGCATATATTCAAAAAAGCGAAACTCCAATCAGATTCTGTGACACCATTGAAAATCAGCATTTGTTTGCAATTCTGACAACTACGCAAATCTGTCTTGGATTCCACAACATCTCTGAATATTTATATAATCAGCAAAGGTTTAAATTTGCCACGAAATTTATAATATCCAGAAGAAAACTGCAGAGACCCTACCAAATGTAACGGAGCAGGGCGAGCTGAGTCTGTTTGTCTGTATATATGTACATACGTGAACTAGTCTCCGCGTTTTTGAAAAATTTTGAGCACGTCTTTTCCTCTTCTCCTTCTCCCTAAGAAGCTGCTAATTTTTCAGAATCGCCGATATAAGACCACTATAGCATATAGCTGCAATACAAAACGAACGATCGGAATCAAGTTCTTGCATGCAAATATTATTTGTTCGCTACAACCAAATTTAACGTTTTGTCTTATTTTTACAGGAAAACAGCGCGCAAAGATATTGATCAGAAAAATTACGCTTAGAAACAGCTATTGTTTGAAATATATCTATTATCTTACTATTTGATGGAAAATATTTGTAATTATTAAATATTGAACAATTTAGTATTTTTTATATTAACATAACTATTTACATACAGCATTGTTCTTCAAATTGAAAACTGGTAAAAATTCCAACTTTTGGTTAAAAAGAGTTTAAAACATTACTTGGCATTATATTCTCCGATAGCATTTCTAAATAATCGAACCTTGTAACCACAGTCAAATAATTACAAATATATAATAATATTTATTTCTTACATCGATGTAATCATATTTGGAAAACTATCCTTTCAAATTTTTTATTATGACAATATTGATATGACAAGGTAATAAAAGTTTGTATAAACACTAAATGATATGTAGCAATTTTACTTCATCACGGCGTAAACCGGTAAGTAACATAAATAAAAAGTTCATGCGAGATAAATAAAGAGCTGAGAGAGTTCCATCAATACATACAGCAATGCTGTTTGGCCAAAATAGCAAGGATGCTTGAATTGTAAATACCTCTAGTTCAACATCATCTGCCACTAGGCGCACATCATAGCGGAGAAGGTGTCTCAAATATATTAAAATTATTCACCACTATAATTTTAACAACACTACTTGGTTGTTCTGTTGTCATATCGGTTCTAAAACAATAAGAAATGTAAAATTTCGAAATCGATTTAGCACGTTCTCTTTCTTTCTCTCTCTCTCTCTATTATAATCGGCTGGTACATTGTGATAATTTTTCAGACAAACAAACTAAACAAATTCTTTGCATCGATAAACCGATTTTCCATTTTCACCAGGCGCTCATAAGACGCAGTCGTCGATTCTTCTGTAACAAAATGCATATGCTTTAGCAACAAAAATTCGTTACTCATAGCAAAACGTCACTAAGCACTAAATCTTATTGTAATTATGTTTTGTTCTTGTACATTATCTGATCTCCTGGTTTAACTTAAATTTGAGAAGAAAATCACTTTCTACCAGGCGCACAAAACAGCGCAGTAGGTGTTTTGAATGCATTGTAATTGCCAGCTGTCCGTTCACGAATAGATGTCTGTAACACAAATTCGTTCCGATTCTAATATCGATAATAAAACAACACTAAATGTTGGATATTTACTTTTATTACGATGAATTGAAGAAATTTTCTACAGCTGCGACTATTTATGATCGCCTAGTACAGCAGCACGATTTTTCATACAAAATACATGAAAATCTAAAGGAGGGTGTTGTGAGTGTTGTGGACCACAATAGCAAGTCAAGAAAATAATTTGCTGTGCGCTTTGTACCAGGCGTACAAAATAATGCAGTAAGTGTTTCAAGCTTCGAATTCGAACTCTTTCTCATTTACGTATGTGCAAGGATATAACAACACACATTAGCTCCAATTGCCAAAACGTTTCTAAGCCTAAGTCAGACTGCCAATCATATGCTGCATAACTATGTGTTGTTTTTGGTTATGGTATATTTGGAGTTTTATTTTATTTTTATTATCAACTGATACATTACGACAAATTTTGAATATGAAATAAAAGAAAGTTTTGCGAGATCGGTCGACTCATAAAAAATATCATTTATTTATAAAATTATGTAACATTAGAAATATTGTACAGAACATTGTTGTATATATTATTTATAATGCTGTGATTAAGTATTTTAATATCCCTAATACAACGCTAGGGCTTCTCATACAAAAACTGAAATTCAATAAACTCGAAAGGCACTATAAAATTGTTTTTTCTTGAAATCTTATCAGCAAATTAACTGGCATTTCTCTACCTGGCGCACGTTTACATATGCAGTATGTTTCATTTACATTTGAACGTCTTCTAATATATAAATCTTCTCTCTTCTTAGCAATCCTATTCCGTTCCAATTGTCAAATTGTTCCCAAAAGACGGTAGAAAGCGCGGCATCATCGAAGCAAAAAACGCACAGAAAAAGTATTGTGAAATCATATACTTCAGCCTTCACCTCATTGCAGCCATACATATTAGTTCCTGTCCAGGCCGTTCCTAAAATAACAAATACTAAATGTTGTGTTGCTGTACTACTGTATTACTATACTACCTTCGTTACAATATGTTAATTGTTATTGCATTATTCGAACTTTGCGACGTTTGTGCGTTGAGAGAGACTAAACATATTTTATTCTTACCTTCCTTTTTGATCGCCTGGGACATTTAATCATCAGTTGCAAACAATGCTTTTAAAAAAGAGTAGTGTAGATCAGCTGTTTTCGTTTCATGCTTGCATCTTTTATCGTCTATTTTGCGTTTTTTTTCTGCAGCTCACGTTGCAGTGTTGCCAGTCGACATTTATAATATTTATTTATTTCATATAATATATTGAACATATATGTATTTATTTACTCCCTATATATATATTTTTTTTTTAATACGATTTACTAAATTAACTTGATTTAATTTCAAATTCCAGGTATTGAAAAAGTTTATACCTTAAGTGGCCTTATTCGGAAACTAAGGCTTCATAGATCAGTGCAGAAGCCTTAGAAAATGGTAAAACGTGAAAATAATCATAGCAGGTTGAATCCATTGGAAAATAAATATTTTAAATTAAAAAAAAATTACAACATGTTTGGGATATGAAATGGTTAGTTCACCCTAAATTTCGTGAAACAAATTTTCTTTGTAGAAGTTATAAATAAAAAAATCAAAGACTTGGTTATTTGCATATTTCACATAAATATTGAGGTTATGTGAATATTTTGTAAATAGAAAAGTTACAGATATATATATATATATATATATATATTATATATATATGTGCTTCCTTGGGACTCATCATTTGGCCGGAAATCGAGATAAACCATTTATGACACTTGACAATTCAATCGCTCCGCTCAGCGACCTCAGATCGCCCGTAAATTATTTTTCTTTTCATTTTTGTTATTTTATCTTGCTTTTCCAATGGGTCACTACTATGATTTTTTTTTGCTTTCAAAAATTTTCTACCCTAGTCTATGCAATGAAATTAACAAATTTTTTCTAATATTTGTAAATTTTATTACGTTTTCAAAACCTTCCCTGTTTTTTTGTTCGTTGTTTAGTTTGACGCGCATTATTTAGTTTTTTTTTTAATAAATAAAAAGTATAACGTCAAAAGTATTTCAGAAACATTTTTTTTGCATCATTATATAATATTGAAACCGAAGCATGATCAAAATTTTAATCGTACTTGTTGCTTTTATAAGCTCTTACCAAGTAAGTGTTGTTTACTGGACAATTTGAAAAGAATATCACAAGCAAAAGATTTACAGAGCTGTAGCGGTGAACAAAGCGGACACGTAAACTTTTGGTATACTTGCGATTTTCAAATGGAATCCGATATGAATGCTATGAGTGAAGAATGCCGTAAAATATATAGCCAAAAAGCGAGCAAGAGCGATGTCTACGAACTCTATAAAACCGAAGCGGAAATGTTTTATAAATTCCGAAATAAATTGGTGGAATGCGAAAGTAATGGCAAAATTTGCGCTCTAAGCGATAATCAAAATGAACTGGAAATGCCCTTGGTGAGTGAGCATAGATTAACAAGAGGATGTGTGGAGGGTTAATAAAATTGGCGCATAAAAGTATGCTACAGTAGGAATACTTGTATAAGTGCGCTTAATACAATTAATTCAAAAATATATTTGAATTAAAATGCATATGTATCTAATTATGCTTTTACTAATACATATACTAAATATATTTTTTATACTGCAGCTAATCGGTTATGATATCAACAAACGTATGCGTTTATATAAAGAAGCTGAAATGAATCAGTGTTACGTAGAGACCACCAATAATATTGAATTTATAAAATGTATTATTGAAACTCGCAGGAAATTACTGGCCGCACTAAATCAAAATTGTTCAAGCATGTGAGTGCTATTATTTGTATAATTTTATATTTATGTAAAACTTTACTAAAATTTAAAACCGAAATTAATACAAAATCTATTTTTTATTTAATTCTGTTAAGTTTTTGGCGATGTGGTAATTAGGTTCAGTATATCAATTAAAAAATATAACAAATTCTAAAACTAAACTTGGTTATATAGAAAATAACAATAAAATTCATTGCATTTAGACTAATAGTCTCTTCTTAAACGTACACCTTAATTTATATTATGCATTGCAACCGGCTACTGAGCACAGGCAGTTGTTGTGGTTGGCAGAAAAAATCGCCGAAGTAATTTGGAGTAATGTTGGGGAGTTGACAGTCCTTGATCGGAAAAAAAATCTCGAGTCTATTACGGTTACGTAGTCCCGACTATCGTGGGAAGAGCACAGACAGCTGAAATATAGTGGTTTGTGTAATGTGTATTACTAACATCCTATGCCATAGTTTACAGCAATGTCAAATTTAGGCAACTACTAAAAAAAAAACTGAATATCTTAAAGAGAAAATATGTGTACTTAACTCTTTATTTCTTTATAAATGTTTTCTAGGGAATAATTTACCAAAATCTCAACAAAAATAAATAGTAATTCTTTAAATACTTTATGACAAATATTTTGCAGATGTTATTGAACGTGTAAATTATCTTAAATGTACAAAACATAACGAATTCGGTGCGAAATTAGGCATAAGTTATTGTTTAAGGCAACAATGTATTCTCAGCAGAAATTGTTCAGATCAAATCACTATATCATATAGCTGCCATACAATATATACAACGATCGGATTCAAGTTCTTGTAAGGAACATTTGTATTTGTGAAGAGTATTATAGCTTCAGTGCAACCGAAGTTAACGTTTTTTCTTGTTCTTTTTTTTAAGCATAATACTAACATTATATATTAATAAAGCATAAAAAATTATTGTGTAGTAAAAACCGAAAAAATTTTTTTTGAAATAGAAGACAAAGTAAATAAATATTTTTAATATAACCACAACAACTCGTCGTTTTACCTTCGAAAAACCGCACTTAACTGCCTAGTTGAAAAAGTGAATATAAAATAAATCCGAAAAAAACATGCACCAAATCTGCTGTTTGAAAAGTAAAAAAAAATAATAATTATAACAATCTCACAGCAAACGAAATTATACTACTTTATTTGGCGAATTTTTACAATACACTACATAAGAAAGGAGGACCGCCCTAATTGAATAATAATATTTAAGCTAAATAAATGCTGAGTATTTTAATTTAAACTCCCAAAAATTTTTATTTTGTCCGATCTGGCTACAATGGAAAGTGTTATAAAAAACGCTACTTTTGAGGCGCTCTCACACTGGAACGAGTTGGGTATCCCATTATCCCTGCTAGAAACTATAAACGGAAGAGAAAAGCTTTGTTTGTGAACTGTTACAATGTACTACTACACAAGAAAAGAGGATCACTGTAATTTCGAATAAGTCTCTCTCACAATTTCAACGAACTTCGAATTATGCAGCAATAAACCTTCTGAGCAAAACGAAACTATGCTGTTAATTGGCCGAATGTACAAAGACATAGCAAATGCAAGTCACAATAAGAATTTTAAATAGGAACTTTAAGGAAATAGGAACATGAGTTATTAGTGCGCCAAGGTCAGACAATGCATGTGGTTGGGAAGGGGAGAAATGTTTGTTAGCTTCTGTAAATGAAATAGCAAATATGTATTACACGCTTCTGATTTCTCTGAATGCCTGTTCGATTTATAGTCTGGTTCTACTGATTTTTCGTTTTTTTATTGCCCGAGATACCGAAAGAAAATCTTTTATGCATGTGGGTGGTTTTTTTTTTTGGGACTTTTGAACTTGTCTAATATTGGTTATGTCTTTTCATATTTAATATCAGTAATACCCATGTATCGATATATAACGGATGAGTCTCAAGAATGCTGCAAAAGTTAGTTGAGCAAAAATATTTTCACCCTAGATTGTATACATTGTGAAGAGGGCCTCGAAGTTATTTCTGCGCGAATTCGGATGTTTCAGTTCCTATACGAATCATTTATTTTTTCAATTATCAAAAAAAAATTCCTTTCATTTCTATTTGATAAATATTTATGAACTTTCCTGCTCTATCAAAATATCAACACTGCGATTATACCTTAGGAAGACCATACAGAAGGTGCAGGTTTGCATCACTTTTTCCGGCAAAGATGGTAGTACCTAACGAATAAAGCGCCAAATGTTGGTTACACCCCTAATAAATAGTTTAAAATAGTGAAATCACATGATCTTAGTTTCCAATTGTTAGAACAATTTTTATACTCTGAACAGGGTGTATTAAGTTTTCTTCGAAATTTTTAACACCCAGAAGGAAATGTTGTGACCTTCGAACTAGTCATTCAGTTTGTGAGGTATTTATTTGAAATTTTGCACACATTATTTTCTCCCAAAGAAACGCACAAGCAAAACGAAGCAGTTGCACGTACTCTTGGAGCAAATTTGCTTTAAGGAATCAGATTTTGGAGTTAGTTGCTTTAAACTTTTAACCGCTTGCGAGACAAAATAAATAACTCAAATCACTACTAAACTCAAAAGGCGTATGTATATATGGTATATACATGTATATTTGTTACTTGTGATAACGATATTACTCCCAAACGAATGTGCGTAGCTAAGTAAACGAGTTGACATTCATTGCAATCTGGTGAAAGGATACACTGCAAATCGCTTAAGTGTATATTTTTTTTGCTTTATATAAATATTTGCTTTGCAACTTGAGCTAACGTTTGCAATGCGCAGATAAAAGAAAAGCTAAAATCCTTGATACAAGTTACTTTACGTTAGTATTTCCTCTTCGTCATCTCTGTCATCATGAAAGTCGTTTATGTGTAAATGCCACTGAGTAAGTACGCACAGCTTTAATCTAATCTAGTTGACATCAGCAAAAACTCAGTGTACTTATATTTATGGCATGCCACAACATAAGTGTTGATGAGTCAGAAATTGAGTTTTGCGCTGTCTAGATGGCAACACCGACGATACCTTGGTCATTCAGATTATCCCATTTGCATATAATCACTTTTATTTAATTATACGCACGGACGCACGGTTTCTTGACTTCTGCTGCACTCATTTCAAAGAGAGCAAATATAAGTGTGTATGTGTGCAAACTAAATCCTTTCTTGATATTGCTGTAACTACATTTTGATCTTGAACAAGGTTTATTAAGTATGCCACGCAGTTTGTAACACCCAAAAGGAAAGGTGGGATGCCCTTTAACATATATACGTATAAAGCATATACATACGCAAATGATCTGAATTCGAAATTCGAATTGAAATTTTGCACACGTCCTTTACTCCCCAAATAGCCTGCTAATTTGTCGGAACCGCTAATACCGGACAACTATAGCCTATAGCTGCCATACAAACTGAAGGTTCAAGTTCTTTTATGGAAACTTTTTAATGTCTACGGAGCATTATAGATCACGCTTTTCTTTTCTTTTTTACAATTTCTATAATATTTTGTATATCTGAATTCAAAGATAATATGATGCGAAACTCTTAAAATTATCGTGCAGAAAAAAAATGTTTTAATAGGTCAGAAACTTTACCAAAATAGTCAATGACCATTAGCGAGATCAACAGGCCTAAGGCTCATTGACCTCAAAAAGGGTTGTGAACCACGTTTAAAGTAAAAAAGGGACATTGTTGGCAGCGAAGGTTATGGACTTCGCTAAAGGGTCCCCGACCTCACCAAAAGTCCCTGAAAGTAAAAAAACGCAACTAACCTCTGGAGTGGTCATTGACCTCGCCAAAGGTTATTGATCTCACTAACGGTTTACTAAGCTAATATGTGGCAATTTTCACCTAAAACTTTTCGATATCGGACTACACGTTTTCAAGACCCAGACCCCGAATTTGAGGGGCTCAATATTATTTGATGACTATATAGCGACTGAATATTGTAAAATATCTTAATCAAACTAAATGTGCATGTTTTTTTGATTAAAATGTGGCTCTAACAAATATGTATTATATCCTACAAACTTAATTTCCATTTTCTTGTAGTAGTAAAAGTTATTTGTTATTTTTTTGTTATCTCGTTGACGAATTGGTATAATTTTCTGGATTGTCGATGCACGGATAACCTAAGTTGGACCTTCCGAAATGCTTCTGATATCTGCGTCAGCCAAGGCTTTTCTTGAAACCGATCCGCCGGTGCATAGGGGACCATACAATATATAAAAAGTGCTTTGAGGATTGGAATAAACGCTGCCAGAAGTGCATTATATCAAGGGGTGATTACGTTGAAGGCGACAAAATAGATATTCATGCATAAATAAACACTTTTTTAAGAAGTACAAAATTCGCGATATTTTTTTTTAAACAAACCCCGTAATTTTAAACCTTCATTCATTACAATTCACGTGAAGGTACAGATATGAAGTTAAAGCCTTTGAATTAAACGCTGTATATATTGTGTTTCAATTTTGTCTGTCTGTATGATATCAGATTTAAAGATTTGAGTATATAAGTGATGCAACCAATGCGGGTATTCATCACGCGCCACGTTTTATCGTGAATAATTTATCTTTAGAGTGCCAAACTCTGTTTCTCATAGCAGCAATGCCAAAAATAAAATTTAAATTTTTTTTCCTTTGTAACTTTCTCCTAGATTTTAAAGGTGTATATACGCTACAAAACAATATATGTACAACTTTCGTTGTTGATTTACGTGAATACCTGCCGCCGACGGACCTTACCTCACGGTGCTCCAAAGCACAGCGTATCAATACAATGCGTTGATAAGCGCCCCAAATAATACGAGCTATTTGCAAGTATTAATTTGGTTACCAGTGGCAGTGTGTCTGGGTCCACACTACCATCTTGGTAAGATTCGAGGCCGACCTAAAACCTATTCCGTTTTCGGGTACGGCACCCAGTTGCTTTTTGCAACTTCTTTTTAGAACTGAAAAAAACAGTTAGGCTGAATTTTCAGTTCTTCCTGCATTTAGGTTTCAACCACAGCCACCACGAATCTCCCCAAAGGGGCCATAACCCAATGAGCAGATTGGACCGAAGTCCAAGGGCTTTCTGCTCCCCGTGGTAACAAAAAGTCTCCGGTAAAACTGTGTAGCCGAAACTACTGCCAGTTGAGCAACCCATTACTCAATGACTGGTGACATTTGTCGCTTGAACTTCAAATGTCTTTTTATTTGCTTTTTCATTTAAAGTCTATAATATCAGTTCAAGCTGAGTATTATAGCACTTTTTCTGACATACTATGCTGATATTACTGAGCAAGGTACATAAGTACATACTGTTAAGTCATAGTGCATTTGGCTTTTAGTCGCCTTTTACGACAGGCATGCCTTAACGCGGGTAATTTCTTACCCCTACTCGCAGGGGGAACAATATATGTACAGTATAAATTTTGCGCTAGCACCGTCATAAACCACTGAGCACACACGCACATACATATTTATTTGGACACATGCATCAAGTGTTACGCCAATTGAGATATACCTACATATATACAATATTATATATATACCGATAAATTCACATCGTATGCTTATGCACACACCTACCTGTACAATTGCGTATCCTTGTCCGCGTAGACGTGATACAACGGCTCCTGGCTGTCCTCCACATAACTCTCGCGCACCTTGAATACAAAGAGTGTCGGAAAGCAGACAATCGGTGACACAATGAAGGAGAATATAATCGCCTCGGTGCAATGTGACAGCAGAAAGGCCGCAAAACGTCCATGTGGATGTCTGAAAAAGAGAGTAGGAAAAAGTTTGCTACAAAAATAAAAAGAACAGCGAAAGGAAGGCCAGAAGCGAGATAAAACCAATTTGCAGATCGAATTTAAAGAAAAAGAAATTGTATTTTTCGAAAAAAAAGTAGTAAGAATAACCGTAAATCGAATAAAAAGGGAGAAAATTTCAAAACTTTGTTAAAATATTGTTGTGGTTTTTTTTTCGCCAGCATTGTCAAAAAATACTTCTGAGGCAAACACATTTTAGTTACAACTACTTATTACTTCTATGTTGGACATACGTACTACACAACTAAGTGCCTTTGCTATTAAGAATGAAAAAAAAATTTAGAAATTGCTTTAAATATGAATACAGTTAATTGAAGAAATTAACAATATTTCAAAAAACGTCTTTACCATTTTTGAAACTATTAATTAATAAATAATCATTTACTTACTGTTAGTTATAGTTGGCATCACTGAAAGAGCAAACCAAATACCAAGTATATGTACATAATTTACTTTCTTATGTATTACAACTGTTACTCTATACTATTGTTATTTTTACATACTAAGTACAGTTTTTGTTCACTTCAATAAAACATTTTGTATCGAACGGACGTCTTTGAATTAAATATTCTAACAAAGGTTATGGGCCCAGACCCAACACGTGTTTCGATATAGTCGCTTCAGTCAGAAAAAAATCGGTCGATATAATTAATATCGTGTATTTTTTATGTAATTGTTTTATTGAAAATAAAAATGAGCGGATCGGTTTTAAATATTGAAAAATTAAATGGTGAAAATTATGAGAGCTGGGCTATGCAAATGAAAAGCCTCTTAATTACCATGGATTATTGGGAAACAGTCATGTCACCTGTACCAGAGGATACATCTGGAGAAGTTAAGATTAAGTGGTTGGCAAACGATCAAAAAGCGCTGGCAACTATTACGTTGTGTTTGAAACCGTCGGAACTCATTCATGTGAAAAATTGCGTACATGCTGCAGAAGCATGGATTAAGTTGAAAGAAATATATCGTGCAAAAACACCATCAAGAAAAGTTAATTTATTTAAAAGTCTGTTTCGATTCCAAATTAAAAATGACGAAAAAATGGCAGTTCAAATTAATAATTTTTGTAGCATCGCGGAAAGTCTGAAAGAAATGGACATTGCTGTACCAGAGGATCTGCTATGTGTTTTGTTGTTGTGCAGTTTGCCAGACGATTTGGAGAGCTTTGTTGTTGCTATTGAAAGTCGCGATGATTTACCTTCATTAGGTCAACTCAAGGTGAAAATATTGGAAGAGGAGCAGCGTCGAGGAAGTCGGGTAGACAGCAGTGGAGCTGAAAAAGTGTTTGCAGCGAAAATAGAAAAAAAGAGAAGCGAGAACGCTGGAAGGTCAAACTACACCGGTGACAGCGGCAACAACTTAAGCATCAGCAGCAGTACGAGCGGTAATTACAACGGCAGAAACAATGAAATTCGAAAGAGAAACATTCAATGCTATGCATGTGGGCGGCGCGGTCATATTAGGTCAGAATGCAACAGTAGATCTGCACAAGCAAAAGTAATGAGTGTATTTGGAATAAAATTTAGCACAAACAAAAACGTGTGGATTTTAGACAGTGGTGCTTCTTCTCACTTGTGTTGTAACGGGGAATTATTTAATAAATTAGAAAAGAGCACACAATCCGTACTATTGGCATCGGGTGAAAGTGTAAATGCTCAAGGCGTAGGTGATGTATTTCTACAGTCGGGAAATACGGAGATCACTCTGCGTAATGTACTTTTTGTGCCGGACTTACATTCTAATATTTTGTCGGTCAGCAAAATAATTAGTTATGGACATTGTGTGACATTTGGTAAAAATACAGCGCGTGTGGTAGATAGCTACGGTAAAGATTGTTTTGAAGCTAAATTAATTGCTGGTATATTTTGTGTTAATATGAAAAAAAGGCAAGAACGTGTATTAACAGTAATTCAACTTGAAGAGAATAAACGTTGGCACTCACGATTTGGTCATTTAAACTTTCATGATTTGGCAACATTATCAAAACAAAATATTGTGCGCGGTATGAAATTGAATTTTAGTAACGAAATTTCCTGTGTTATATGTGCGGAGTGTAAATTAAGGTTAATCAATTCAAAACTAATAAAACTATTTACACTAAAAATTGCTTAGAACTTATTCACTCCGACATTTGTGGACCGATGCGTATATCGTCCCAGAGCGGTTCAAGGTACTTTATAACGTTTATTGACGATTTTTCTAGGTACATTTCTACCTATTTCTTAAAAAATAAGTCAGAAGCGCTGCGTGCTTTTAAAGATTTTGTAACGCGATCAGAAAACCGAACCGGGCAAAAAGTGAAGAATATCCGCAGCGACAATGGGCGCGAATATTTGAGTGGCGAATTTGAAAGTTTTTTAAAAGAAAAAGGTATCAATCATCAACTTACAACCAGTTATACGCCACAGCAAAACGGAATTGCAGAGCGGGCTAATAGGACTTTAGTGGAGATGGCTAGATGTATGCTAGCTGAATCAAAATTGCCGCAGTGTCTGTGGACAGAAGCTGTCAATACAGCTACGTACTTGCGCAACAGATCTCCTACAAAGCTGCTAAAGAAAACTCCATACGAATGCTGGTTCAATAAAAAGCCAAATGTTTTACACTTGAAAGTTTTTGGGTGCGATGTCGTGTATTTAGACAAAAAACCGGGTAAATCGAAATTTCTTCCAAAGGGTAAAAAATGTTCATTTGTCGGTTATTCAGAGAATTCAAAGGCGTATAGATTATACAATAAAATTGATAAATCTATAACTATTTCTCGCGACGTTATTTTTTTTGAAAAATCATTTTCATATCACAATGTAGCTGGTGAAACTGGTGAAGAGTTCGTAAGTTTTAACGTTAAAGCAGGTGATACCAGCTCGGGTGCATATACTAACACAAGCAAACAAGCTAATTCTGAGCCAAGTATAGTGGGAAGTGATGCAGATTCAGTTTCAAGTTATGAAGAAGAAGCTTATGTTCCAACAGCTAATGTTAAACGCAAGAGAGGGCGTCCAAAACTTATGAGAGAGGGAAAAGTCGGAAGGCCGCGAAAAAAGTATGCGAGTGAACAGTCACTAGAGTTGTTAAGTCAGGTAACAACTTGTGCACGTGATCCGAAAACTGTGGCAGAAGCAATGTCAGATGGCTGTTCTCAGTTTTGGAAAGACGCGATGAAGTTGGAATATGATTCTTTAAAAAAAAACAATACGTGGGAGTTGGTAAATATACCTGAATCGAAGAATATTATTGGGAGCAAGTGGGTGTTCAGTACAAAACGGCACGCTGATGGAACTGTGGAGAAACACAAAGCGCGTTTAGTTGCCCAAGGCTGTGCCCAAAAATACAAAGTTGACTATAGTAATACTTACTCACCAGTAGCACGGTACTCTACAATCAGGCTAATTTTGGCGTTATCAGCGCAGCATAAATTATTCGTCAACCACATTGATATTGTGGCAGCGTATCTCAACGGGGAACTAGAAGAAGAAGTTTTTATGCGGCAGCCGGAGATGTTTGTAGATAAAGCTAATCCACACAAAGTATGTAAGCTCAAAAAAGCGTTGTACGGACTAAAACAAGCAGGGCGGGAATGGAATCGTAAAATCGACGACATTTTACGGAGCATTGGGTTTGAAAGAAGTTTCACCGATGGTTGCGTATATCATCGTATAAAAGCTGATAACATCGCCGTTATAGTATTATACGTTGATGACATGTTGGTAGCATGCTCTTCAGAAAAGCTGATAGAAGGCATAGTATCCGATCTCAATGCAAATGTGGAAGCCATAGATCGAGGCCCAATCCAGTATTTTTTAGGCATGGAAATTTCGAGAGACTCTCCATGCGGAAATATTCAGCTTCATCAATCTCGTTTTACAGAGGATCTATTGAAAGAATGGGGTATGTTCGATTGTAAATCGTCATCAACTCCGTTGACATGTGGAACAGTCTTGATTAAGTGCGAAAATAAAAACTGCAGTGAATTTTTCGACACACAGACATATCAGAGTCTCATTGGATCATTGACTTACTTAGCCATGATATCTAGACCTGATATCGCTCACACTGTTTCAAAATTGTCTCAATTCAATTCACATCCCCACAATGAGCATTTTGTAGCAGCAAAGCATGTACTTCGTTATCTAAAAAGCACAACGAAAGGTATATTGCCCTATATTTCCAATAATGATTGTTTAGTTTGTTTCACAGATGCCGATTGGGGGTCCGATGCTACGGATCGAAAATCATATAGCGGCTATGCAGTCTTCTGTGCTGGTAGTCCGGTAGCGTGGGAGTCAAAGAAACAAACGGTAGTATCATTGAGTTCAATGGAAGCAGAATATGTAGCCATGTGCCAGGGATCCAAGGAAGTTGCCTTCTTAAGGAGTCTATTAAAGGAAATTGGCTTCCTTTCATATGTAAATTCTGCTACTAAATTTTTCTCGGACAACCAAGGTGCGCAATTTGCAGTGAAGAATCCAATAGTCCACAAAAGAAGCAAACATATGGATATCAAGTTCCACTATATACGAGAGAAATTCAACAACAGAGAAATTGACATTCAATATATCTCGACTGCAGAAAATGTAGCTGATATTTTCACGAAATCTCTTCCAAAAGAGAAACATAAACGTTTTTGTAAATTGCTCAACATAAGGTTCTGTTAAATACCTATGTAATTAGAGTTTGTTATTCTCATATGTAATTAATAATGTGGATTCAAATGTTAAATGAATATTATTTTTTTTTGTTTGAAGATAATTTGGTTTGAGTCGGAGTATGTTAGTTATAGTTGGCATCACTGAAAGAGCAAACCAAATACCAAGTATATGTACATAATTTACTTTCTTATGTATTACAACTGTTACTCTATACTATTGTTCTTTTTACATACTAAGTACAGTTTTTGTTCACTTCAATAAAACATTTTGTATCGAACGGACGTCTTTGAATTAA